GCTCGTTTCGTATAATTCGTATGTAATGAGACCTCGTGTAGTATTCTCTATTTATTACCCACGTGGTCAACGTATGGGTAGTTGCATACTAATCTCGTACGTCACACGAGTGTCGTATCGCGTTGACCTATGTCGTAACGACTTGACCTGAGATTCTAACGATTTGATTGGATAACCGATGACCTCTCAGTTAGGTCACGTTGTGACGGAACTACTTGTTCATTCGTAACAAACACGTGAATTCATTCATTCTACAACTTATATGCATTGTGGGAATTTAAACATTGCGAACGTTGCCGTGCCGCTGTTTGAGTCGAACTGAGACATTATATCCGTCGAAAACATAAACGCAATGTTTCACCAGTGATGTTAACCGAGTGAAGCAGTTGCAAACCAAGAAACGGGGTGCTACGGAGTAGTTTACTGAAGGAGGCTGTACGAGAGGCGATGACAACTGACATGCATCGTGACGTCGGTTACCAAGGGGACAGACGAGAATGGCGTAGTGACGTCATTACAGTGTGACGTCATGCAAAAGTGTACGTCAGAACAAAATTCTTCCGCAACCTCTTTATGAAACCGGTTTCGGTTTGAAACCACAACAATACCAAAACTACGCTATTTTGTCAATTTAATGCATGTAAGACGTGGGTAATAAATAAAATACCACACTCGGTCTCATTACATACGAATTATACGAAACTCGTGACCTTCCTATGGTTTCTGACCTCGCTTTCGCTCGGTCAGATACCATAGGAAGGACACTCGTTTCGTATAATTCGTATGTAATGAGACCTCGTGTAGTATTCTCTATGTATGTAATGAGACCCGAGTGTAGTATTCTCTATGTATGTAATGAGACCGAGTGTAGTATTCTCTATGTATGTAGTATGAGACCTCGTGTAGTATTCTCTATGTATGTAATGAGACCTCGTGTAGTATTCTCTATGTATGTAATGAGACCTCGTGTAGTATTCTCTATGTATGTAATGAGACCTCGTGTAGTATTCTCTATGTATGTAATGAGACCGAGTGTAGTATTCTCTATGTATGTAATGAGACCGAGTGTAGTATTCTCTATGTATGTAATGAGACCGAGTGTAGTATTCTCTATGTATGTAATGAGACCTCGTGTAGTATTCTCTATGTATGTAATGAGACCGAGTGTAGTATTCTCTATGTATGTAATGAGACGTGTAGATGTATGTGTAGTGTAGTATTCTCTATGTATGTAATGAGACCTCGTGTAGTATTCTCTATGTATGTAATGAGACCTCGTGTAGTATTCTCTATGTATGTAATGAGACCTCGTGTAGTATTCTCTATGTATGTAATGAGACCTCGTGTAGTATTCTCTATGTATGTAATGAGACCGAGTGTAGTATTCTCTATGTATGTAATGAGACCGAGTGTAGTATTCTCTATGTATGTAATGAGACCGAGTGTAGTATTCTCTATGTATGTAATGAGACCTCGTGTAGTATTCTCTATGTATGTAATGAGACCTCGTGTAGTATTCTCTATGTATGTAATGAGACCTCGTGTAGTATTCTCTATGTATGTAATGAGACCTCGTGTAGTATTCTCTATGTATGTAATGAGACCGAGTGTAGTATTCTCTATGTATGTAATGAGACCTCGTGTAGTATTCTCTATGTATGTAATGAGACCGAGTGTAGTATTCTCTATGTATGTAATGAGACTCTATGTATGTAATGAGACCGAGTGTAGTATTCTCTATGTATGTAATGAGACCGAGTGTAGTATTCTCTATGTATGTAATGAGACCTCGTGTAGTATTCTCTATGTATGTAATGAGACCTCGTGTAGTATTCTCTATGTATGTAATGAGACCTCGTGTAGTATTCTATGTATGTAATGTAGTATTCTCTATGTATGTAATGAGACCGAGTGTAGTATTCTCTATGTATGTAATGAGACCTCGTGTAGTATTCTCTATGTATGTAATGAGACCTCGTGTAGTATTCTCTATGTATGTAATGAGACCTCGTGTAGTATTCTCTATGTATGTAATGAGACCTCGTGTAGTATTCTCTATGTATGTAATGAGACCTCGTGTAGTATTCTCTATGTATGTTGGGATAATACAAGAGTTCAGGATGTGCGTACGTGCGTACGTGCATGCGTGCGTGCATATGGTTAACAAACCCGTGAGGATCCGGGTTAGAATTGATCTTCAGCAACCCATGAGGCGACTAACGGACGGGTGGTCAGGCTCGCTGACTTGGTTGACACATGTCATCGTATCTCAACTGCGTAGAACGATGCTCATGATGTTGATCACTAGACTGGTACAGACTCGATTATTTACCGACTGCCGTCATATAGCTGAGTGCGGCGTTAAAAATCAACAAATCAAACGTTGTGTCCAACAATGGAGGCCAGTCAGTTAGTTTGGTTTAACGCCGCTCCAGACATTCTTTCAGATTATATATATGCTTCCCCACTTAGACGCAGTACACTGACTTCGAACTTAGGGACCATTTATAATATATGGCTAGGGGGGTTGATGATTTTTTTGAGAAGCATGTACAATGTGAATGGACCCCCCTAAAATTTATGTACAAAGTAAGTGACACACTCCCCCCACAACCCCCCAGACAGGGTAACAACAAGTAACATCTTTTAACCCTAATGACGCGGTCGGGGATCGAACCACCGAGTTCCGCTCTCTGCTCAAACATACTATCCAGCACATCACAGACTTACCATTAAGTCCTTCGTTATATCAAGGATTTATAGTTTACCTGGCAACTTATTTTTACTCGGATAACGATCATCCTTGAATGGAGAATGTTGGACAAGGTTGTAGCACGTAATGTAGAGTACGACCTTGAGTTCGATACAAACGCCAGTCAAATACCACGTGACTTTACGAGAATGGTGTTCTGCATCTTGTCAGAGCCCGGATCCTGCACTGCATCCGACTGTAAATGATCAGACACATAAACAGCTCCACGGATTAGAGTGAAATATTAATGTGGCCGCTCACAGGGGGAAACGTGTCACTAACTCGCCTCGCTGCTTGTATATGACCACATGGTAGCAACTGCTTGCTGGTCAGCTGTGTGAGGACATTACCCTCGATCAGGGCGTCACTTCCTGGTGCATATTTCTCCCTCTCATTAGAGTCAAGGCAGCGATGAGACTGTTGTTTTTGTACATATGCTGGGGCATATATTCTCCAGCCGGCAATGTGGATTAACTGTTTTGAAGACCACTTTCTACCAAGGCTATTGGTGATGTCTTTCCATTGGGTGTGACCGTTCACTGGACACCTTGTCCGGCCATTAACCTACCTGTTTTGAGGCTGCTCCTTTTCCTTAGACAATACGTAGAAATGAATATACCATTGTATAGTATTATCATATCTGCCTGTTTAGACACACATTCAGCCCTGTACGCATGGGTCCTCCAGGTGCTAAAGGCGACGGGGTGGCCTAGTGGTTAAAACGTTCGCTCGCCACGCCGAAGACTCGGGTTCGAATCCCCACATGGGTACAATGTGTGAAACCCATTTCTGTTGTCCCCTGCGGTGATATTACTGGAATATTGCTAAACGCGGTGTAAAACCCAACCCACTCACTCACTCACTCCAGGTGCTAAGACACACATTCAGTCCTGTACCAATGGGTCCTCCAGGTGTTGAGACACACATTCAGCCCTGTACACATGGGTCCTCTAGGTGTTGAGACAGCCCTGTACACATGGGTCCTCCAGGTGTTGAGACACACATTCAGCCCTGTACACACATTGAGACACACATTCAGCCCTGTACCAATGGGTCCTCCAGGTGCCCTGAGACACACATTCAGACACCTGTACACATGGGTCCTCCAGGTGCTGAGACACACATTTCACCCTGTTCAGCCCACATGGGTCCTCCAGGTGCTGAGACACACATTCAGCCCTGTACACATGGGTCCTCCAGGTGTTGAGACACACATTCAGCCCTGTACCAATGGGTCCTCCAGGTGCTGAGACACACATTCAGCCCTGTACCAATGGGTCCTCCAGGTGCTGAGACACACATTCAGTCCTGTACACATGGGTCCTCCAGGTGTTGAGACACACATTCAGCCCTGTACACATGGGTCCTCCAGGTGCTGAGACACACATTCAGCCCTGTACCAATGGGTCCTCCAGGTGTTGAGACACACATTCAGCCCTGTACACATGGGTCCTCCAGGTGTTGAGACACACATTCAGCCCTGTACACATGGGTCCTCCAGGTGTTGAGACACACATTCAGCCCTGTACACATGGGTCCTCCAGGTGCTGAGACACACATTCAGTCCTGTACACATGGGTCCTCCAGGTGCTGAGACACACATTCAGCCCTGTACACATGGGTCCTCCAGGTGTTGAGACACACATTCAGCCCTGTACACATGGGTCCTCCAGGTGTTGAGACACACATTCAGCCCTGTACACATGGGTCCTCCAGGTGCTGAGACACACATTCAGTCCTGTACACATGGGTCCTCCAGGTGCTGAGGCACACATTCAGTCCTGTACACATGGGTCCTCTAGGTGCTGAGACACACATTCAGTCCTGTACGCAGGGGTTCACAGGGTACAAAAGACAAACATTCAATCCTGTGCGTTTGGAACCTAGGGATGCTAATACACACACTCAGCACTACATTATTATGAACTCTCAGTCAAACACAAATACATGTTACTTTTACAATCAAATCCCATTTCAACTAAACGCTCTATATTTTAATCCCACCTCACAAACATTACTAATTTGACTACTGGCAGGATTTGAAGCGCCCCAGTGACGAATCATTGCATCATAATCAACTCTGGTGAAAATTTCAACAAAAAGTTCCACAAAATCTACTCATCCAACAGCCCCCATTTTGTCATGACAATGAAGCCAACACACACACTCAGCCAACACAGTGGATACGACCTCTGAAGGTTTGACAATACATTGTATATTCCTGTTACACAAAAAACAAAAACGTTAATAATAATCTGACAATTTTATTCATCGAAAAAGAACACATTGATACTTTGATTGACATTTGATGTCTGGATATTTCCTGCAAACATAAAACACTAACAATCTACTACAAACAATCTACTTGCCTCACTGGCTACAATAGTAACATAGTTGCCGATTAGTCCCCATTTTGTCTAGTAATGAAACCAGTAATTGAATATGTTAACCAGTAACTGAACACTAAATGTTACATTGCCAAGCATTGGCTATTCCAATATTGTCCTTGAAGAGAGAGCATTTCAGTTATATCACAGCTGGTTAGCTGATTATTAGTGAAAATTCAGAGTAGATATTAGCTCACAGAGCAAGGACAATAATTTTGGTCAGATCTGTAATTCTAGCCAAAGCTTAGCAGATCTGGCATGGCTAAGGGGCACAGGCCTCCAGCCCACCTGTGGTTTCATCTCTCTTCACACCTCAGCAATCAGTCTTCTGATCTGTGAACATGACAGCCATGATAGGCTGAAGTCCATTACAGCCACAATATCTGCTTTGCATTGAAAATACTCTGCATAGTATTAAAATATGATTGTAATTTGGGTTAGAGATCATGCCAGGTCAGGTACAGTTGCTACTGTCAACAATAAAGACCGAAATCTCATCTGTTTATGAGGTACAGTATCACATTGCTCATTTCAACATCATGTCAAGAAACAATATTATATACTGGCTGTAGCATATGTCTTCACAAGTCCACTTGGTTCATGATCATACAGGCAGAGGCACCGGATATCCAGTGATCACTCCGTCAGGAATCTGATATTTTGTAGTTTTGATTGAGGACGTACATCTCATTAAACATGTTATAGTCATCAATCATTGTTGTCATAATTTGGTTTCTTTCTGTTTTATCCTCCATACCATTTTCTCCTCATCCGTACATTCTGAAACATGAGAGATGTAACAATTTTAACAGGCACAATGTATACACCATCACTGTCACCAATACATCCTCACTATAATCAGTACATCCTCACTATAATCAGTACATCCTCACCATAATCAGTACATCCTCACTATAATCAGTACATCCTCACCATAATCAGTACATCCTCACTATAATCAGTACATCCCTCATTAATCAGTACATCCTCACTATAATCAGTACATCCTCACTATAATCAGTACATCCTCATTAATCAGTACACCACACATCAGTACATCCTCACCACAATCAGTACATCCTCACTATAATCAGTACATCCTCACTATAATCAGTACATCCTCACAATGAGTACATCCTCACTATAATCAGTACATCCTCACCACAATCAGTACATCCTCACTATAATCAGTACATCCTCACTATACTCAGTACATACCACAATCAGTACATCCTCACCACAATCAGTACATCCTCACTATAATCAGTACATCCTCACCATAATCAGTACATCCTCACTATAATCAGTACATCCTCACCATAATCAGTACATCCTCACCATAATCAGTACATCCTCACTATAATCAGTACATCCTCACCATAATCAGTACATCCTCACCATAATCAGTACATCCTCACTATAATCAGTACATCCTCACTATAATCAGTACATCCTCATCATAATCAGTACATCCTCATCATAATCAGTACATCCTCACTATAATCATAATCAGTACATCCTCACCATAATCAGTACATCCTCATCATAATCAGTACATCCTCATCATAATCAGTACATCCTCACCATAATCAGTACATCCTCATCATAATCAGTACATCCTCTCATAATCAGTACATCATATAATCATCATAATCAGTACATCCTCACCATAATCAGTACATCCTCATCATAATCAGTACATCCTCATCATAATCAGTACATCCTCACTATAATCAGTACATCCTCACTATAATCAGTACATCCTCATCATAATCAGTACATCCTCATCATAATCAGTATATCCTCACCATAATCAGTACATCCTCACCATAATCAGTACATCCTCACTATAATCAGTACATCCTCATCATAATCAGTACATCCTCACCATAATCAGTACATCCTCATCATAATCAGTACATCCTCACCATAATCAGTACATCCTCATCATAATCAGTACATCCTCACCATAATCAGTACATCCTCATCATAATCAGTACATCCTCACCATAATCAGTATATCCTCATCATAATCAGTACATCCTCACTATAATCAGTACATCCTCACCATAATCAGTACATCCTCATCATAATCAGTATATCCTCATTATTTGGAGTTCATGTCCAAGTCCATGCTCATCATGATCAAGATGCTATTCCACTCCAAGGTGCAATGAGAAATTAGGTTCAGTGTTTGATCTACAGGTAACCTTGCGCCACACTGAACACATGGTATGTTTATTTCCTTATTGATGTGGCTCAGATACTTTTCTACACTCACCAACTTTGTTATCATCCTTGAGTTTCTTTAGCTGCTGGAGCACGTTTCCTGCAGCTGCCATGTGGAGATTCTCAGGAGTGTCCTGTAACAGGTAGATACCATGTACACCCAGCCATGTTCTGTACACCCGAGTTTCTCCCCTTCATACATATACACACTCATACATGCTGCACATACATAAATATTGTGCATATTCCAATATATCAAATTAAATTTATTTCTGAATAGGCCAGAGGCCAATTTACAGGTTACAATTCAGATTGCAATAATGCTCATGCAATAGGCACATCTCCAATGGTACTTGGAAATGAAAGCTAAATAAACAATATTGTCTGGTGAAAGCTAAATAAACAACATTGTCTGGTGAAAGCTAAATAAACAATATTGTCTGGTGAAAGCTAAATAAACAATATTGTCTGGTGAAAGCTAAATAAACAATATTGTCTAGTGAAAGCTAAAAAAACAATATTGTCTGGTGAAAGCTAAATAAACAATACTGTCTGGTGAAAGCTAAATAAACAATATTGTCTGGTGAAAGATAAATAAACAATATTGTCTGGTGAAAGCTAAATAAACAATATTGTCTGGTGAAAGCTAAATAAACAATATTGTCTGGTGAAAGCTAAATAAACAACATTGTCTGGTGAAAGCTGAATAAACAATATTGTCTGGTGACAGTATGTTAACAACAAACAAGTGTTTGCCACTGATATGGCAATGTCCCCTGCCGTTAAAGAATGGAATATCTATATTTACTACTTTTTATTCTTTGGTCACATATACAAGATGCCTGAAATGACTGGTGTCTGCATCATCACCCAATGTAGGCTGTCGACATAATTGAAGACACTGGGTGCAATGTTTTATGAGATATCACGTTTAAAAAAGTTTGAAAAGCAGTCAAAGTGTAATGGTGACCTTGAAGATAAGTCAAGGTGACCCAAATCGACTGGTGTCTGGGTAATCCCCCAATGTAGGCTGTCACCAAATCTGAAGAATCTCCACAGTTCATGAAATATCTCGTTAACAAGAGTTTGAAAAGTGGTCAAAGTGACGTGGTGACCTTGAAAATAAGGTCAAGGTCACTCAAATCGACTGGTGTCTGCGTAATCCCCCAATGTAGGCTGTCACCAAATTTGAAGACATGGGGTACAACAGTTCATGAGATGTCGCGTTAACAAGACTTGGAACATACGGACGGACGCCGCTGAATACATAGTCTCCCGTTCCGCGTTGTGGCGGGTGACAACAAGGATGTAAGGATATGTGGTTACCAACTTGGTTATTTTGAAAAGACTGTTTGCACTTACGTTTACTAACTATAGCCCTACAAACTTATATGTAATCAGATGTTGGTACAGATTACAAGTCAACATAATGGCAGCGAATGCAATAATATTATAGGCATAATATTATAGGCATAATATTATAGGTGTTTCTCATAAAATTGTTGCCTGGTAAAAGTATATTGAAAACAGGAACTATCTAGTTTTTCTTAGCAAACATTTAATAATTACCTCTTTCTTTAAGGATATGATAGACAAACTTGGCAAACTTAAGAATATTATTGTCAAACTTACTTTTTATACTAATATACTACTGGAATAACTGTGCATTGCACCATGCTCCGGCTGCGGTGCCTTTGATCTGTGGTGTATTGTATAGTTACACCACGGTTTTGAACTGCCTTCGACAGCAACTCCCTGATTGGCTGTTTGCAATTTTAGCCACGCCTACGTTAAACAAACATTACTGTCTGCCTCAAATGGATGTCAACTTTCTCAAAAGACAACCAACATTTGTTTTACTCTTTTAATGAAAATAATGACAGCTTTATCAGAAACACAGTGACAAATACATCATTAAACCTTTGAATCAGCCACGAAGCACTTAATTTTTAAAGTACTTTGACAATTTTTGGAACTCAATAATTATTGAAAATACAGTTCTGGTAAATGTTGCACATTTGCCCAACTTTGACACTGGGTCAATCCCTCTAACACGGTAGATTTAGTTTCCATTATACGGCAGCTTGTGAGAGAGTGATGTCATCAATTGTATCATCCCAGAGTTTAGCACCTTCAATTTCGTCAACTATTTGTGACAGTGTAATGTCGTCTATAGTATTATCCCACTCCTGACTAGACATGGTGGCAGTCTCCAACAGAATGATTTAAATTCAAAAATCCCGCGCAGATTTCGAAATTTGAATGCAGGATGTGGGCACGGTACAAAGCAGTTATTTCATCCAATCACTCGAGTTTGGTCCAAATACACCACGGCCTGGTCGAATGATTGGTCGATGAATTTGCGTTGTTAGCTCTCGTATTAGAACGAACTAACTGCACTACTACTTATTTGATGTTTTGCCATTTTTTAATGCAAAAAGGTAATAGTATGATTTGTGGTGTTTTCCTTAATCACTGTTTAACTGTAGATGGGATTATATCGAAGTCTGTATGATTTGACACTAGGCATGGTGACATGCCCTTGAAGAGATGTGGTTGACTTGCTGACGTGACATCATGAGTGGACAATCAGTCTGAGGCAAAACTCTTGTGTTCCCATTATGTTAAAAACGTCCCCATAGAGATCGTGTTTTGATGGATACCAAAATGTCTGGCCACTTCATTCTGGGTCATTCCCAAGTCTCCAGCATACCTACGGCGCGGAGACGCTGATTTTCTGTTAGCCATGGCACGGCGTACTCGTAGTTTAGGTTGAAATTAATGTGTTTTCTACAACATTCAGAGGCAAGAGAACAATCAACCTTCTTCAGTTTTCATTATCAGGTGTGTGAAATTCAGGCGTCGAAAAGCATGCAAAAAATGAGAAAGTTCATTGTGCACAAAGTGCATGTGCCACGTGACATCAAATTTCATGCAAAGTGCTTTGCTAGATGTCTATTTAGGGTTATTTTTCAAATAACTTTTATTTTATGCAATTTTATGTTATGTACAGTTACTCTTTTCCTTAAGTATACATCCAGTCCACCAACTTGAAGATCTCGATACTTATTTTTCAATACATATATGTAACTGTGTGTTTGGTCCATTCTGATGTGCACATTTAACCAAAATTACAAGTGTACATTCATTAATGCTTGGTAAAAGTTCAGATGTCATGGTTGTGTGTATGCATATTTCAATAACACATTGATGCCCTATACCACAGAAACTGTTCTGTACACAAAAATAGGTAAAAAAAAAATCTTGTCCTTGTCAATTCTTTATCGTTATTTCTGGATGCTTCGACCACATCCCCATTTGTCCGGACATATCGTCATCCATTTGTGTCAAGATCGTTTAGTTAAGAGTCAAATTCAAGTTTCAATCGACTTGCAGAAATGGCAATAAAGAATTGGTAGGTATCATGAGTGGTGCTCGTTAGGCCAATCATCCATGATTATGTTTACATTAAGTCTTAATCGATTGCATGCTATCGTAGCGTAGCGATCGGCAAAGCAGGTGGGTGGGGTACACCGAAGTGTCCGGCCTTGTCATAATGTATTGTGCTGTAAGGCATTTCGAGTCGGGGGTCATCTCAAATATTATATATTTTTTCAAAATCTTTAATCCTCGCAAAGGCACACGTGGGCCTGTGCTTTCAACTGATTAATTCCCTCTGAAGTAATTCCAATACTCACAACATAAATTGCCTTGACAATGGCCATGATGCTAGTGCCAAGCTGGGCTTGTGTCCCCAGATACCCCAGAATCTGATCCTCTCTCTGTTGGCGATGTTGAATGTAGTAACGTACGAGGTCACATGGGTTCGGTGATTACGTAGCCGTGCCCTGGGTAGATGGTGCTTGGTGCGAGGTCAAGGATGTCGTGCAGAGACTTCATGTACTGACTCAGATCCGAGATTGTCTGAAGTATACATTGACATTCTTAGCTCTTACAGATGTGATCCAATATGTACTTGGCACTCAAGATGCAACATTCAAACATGCAGCTGGTCTAGATCAGGACATAACACTTCATCATATCTACCTTAGATGCTGGACCTAGACTTCATCATATCTACCTTGGATGCTGGACCTAGACTTCATCATATCTACCTTGTATGCTGGACCTAGACTTCATCATATCTACCTTGTATGCTGGACCTAGACTTCATCATATCTACCTTGTATGCTGGACCTAGACTTCATCATATCTACCTTGCATGTTGGACCTAACGTTCATCATATCTACCTTGGATGCTGGACCTAGACTTCATCATATCTACCTTGCATGTTGGACCTAGACTTCATCATATCTACCTTGCATGTTGGACCTAGACTTCATCATATCTACCTTGCATGTTGGACCTAGACTTCATCATATCTACCTTGCATGTTGGACCTAGACTTCATCATATCTACCTTGCATGTTGGACCTAGACTTCATCATATCTACCTTGCATGTTGGACCTAGACTTCATCATCATATCATATCTACCTTGCATGTTGGACCTAGACTTCATCATATCTACCTTGCATGTTGGACCTAGACTTCATCATATCTACCTTGCATGTTGGACCTAGACTTCATCATATCTACCTTGGAGACTTCATCATATCTACCTTCATGTTGGACCTAGACTTGGACCCTGGACCTTCATCATATCTACCTTGCATGTTGGACCTAGACTTCATCATATCTACCTTGCATGTTGGACCTAGACTTCATCATATCTACCTTGTATGTTGGACCTAGACTTCATCATATCTACCTTGTATGCTGGACCTAGACTTCATCATATCTACCTTGTATGGACCTAGACTGGACATAGACCTTCATCATAGACTGGATGCTGGACCCTAGACTTCATCATATCTACCTTGTATGTTGGACCTAGACTTCATCTACCTTATCTGGACCTTGACTTCATGCTACCTTGACCCTAGACATCATTCATCATATCTACCTTGTATGCTGGACCTAGACTTCATCATATCTACCTTGCATGCTGGACCTAGACTTCATCATATCTACCTTGTATGCTGGACCTAGACTTCATCATATCTACCTTGCATGTTGGACCTAGACTTCATCATATCTACCTTGCATGTTGGACCTAGACTTCACATATCATCATATCTACCTTGTATGCTGGACCTAGACTTCATCATATCTACCTTGTATGCTGGACCTAGACTTCATCATATCTACCTTGTATGTTGGACCTAGACTTCATCATATCTACCTTGCATGTTGGACCTAGACTTCATCATATCTACCTTGCATGTTGGACCTAGACTTCATCATATCTACCTTGCATGTTGGACCTAGACTTCATCATATCTACCTTGTATGTTGGACCTAGACTTCATCATATCTACCTTGTATTGGACAAAGAGATCATTCTATCATCCAGCTTTTACTACAGTACAGATCCAAGGTTCACAACATCTTGCTTGCATAATCCACCTTAGGGATGCCAAGATCGGGTTGATGGTCTGGATTTGTCTGTTGTTGCTGGACCTAGACATGACCACTCATCAATAATCATCATCCATTAACAGCAGATCAAGGTTAGATATCAAATCTGGACATCAAGACAGATGCACTCATCATAATCAACATCATTAACAGCATAGATAATCAAATCACATCATGTGCATCCCTCTACACAGTTGGGATGTGATGACATGAATCCACCCAATCCCAACAGTCTCCTCTTACAACAAGCATGGACTGCTGGAGTCGTACCCAGAGATTTTCAAGGGTTTGGACTCTTTGGCTTTGGAATGTCAACAGCTAAGTTACAGTGCAGACCCTGTGAACCCTGCATGTATTTGCGGCAGCCACCATTATTGGTACCATGTATTGCATGCAGTGTGTGAAATGTCACTGTCAGGCTAGTTAACCAGTTAACCATGGATGTCAGAATCCTGTTTCCTTATACTTTCAATTTCTAACATCCATTATGAGCTACTGATTACATTTACTGATGTGGAAAAGTACTTGTTCATTTGTTGCAATGTTTAATTTCATCATATTTGATGTAAACGCCAGGGCATGTCCAGTCTAACCTAAACTTGGGCTCAGTATTATTTGTTACTGCTATTCTGTGTCTAACAAACCCCAGTAGAAGGTCAGATTACCAAATTGCCATTTGCCAAAGCTACATTCGCACATACCGTTTGAACTTTTACCTCAAAAACGTTTGTACTCGAACGCTTTCGAATGCTATATTTCGCATGATCGCTTCCGAGTGATACACATGGAGAACGCCATTATTCACAAGAGTGAGAAAACAATTGCTGAAAATAGCATTTTTGTCAATATTTCAGGATGTCACCTTGCGGAACTTTAAGCTAATAGTAACCATGTCATCAGAAACCCCTAAGCATATATACTGCAGGTCATATATATGTGTTTTATGCAGATTTTCATTTATTGAGAGATCAGTGAGTGAGTGGGGAAGAAATTTTGAAAGAGTAGAACTGTCTTATTGGTTAATTCCATTCATCCATCTCATGTTTCATTGAATGGTCATAGGTCACTCAAAGGTTAGCTGACGCGACCTTCTACTAGGGTTTGTTAGACTCAGTAGAGCAGTTTAACAAATAATCCTGAGCCCAAGTTTACTTAGAGTCAGACTGAGGACATGTCTATGGCCTTACTGTTGTTGTTCCTCCCAAAATGCTGTCCCCAGAGAACACTGCATTTTCTTCCTCTAGCAGTAGGATCATATGATCATCAGTGTGCCCTGGATTGTATATTGCCCTGAAAAACAGAAACATAACTATGACACATGATTGTGTTATTGGAATACTGCCATAGTGAGTGAGTGAGTGAGTGAGTTTAGTTTTACGCCGCACTCAGCAATATTCCAGCTATATGGTGGCGGTCTGTAAATAATCGAGTCTGGACCAGACAATCCAGTGATCAACAGCATGAACATTGATCTACGTAACTGGGATACAATGACATGTGTCAACCAAGTCAGCAAGCCTGACCACCCGATCCGTTAATTCGCCTCTTACAACAAGCATGGGTTACTGAAGATTAATTCTAACCCGGACCTTCACGGGATACTGCCATACAATACCACCCTGAAATACAGCCACAGAACCATCATGGATTATGGACCACCAATCTATTAATTAAGAGACACATTTTTCTTTTGGTCCTCATGCTTGCAAATATTTTTTCATGATTTTTAGTAATCTGATTCACGGAAATGACAAGATCTCACTCAAGATTCTACAGTGTCAGATGCAGCAGTATACCTAAGAGTGGCTCCATCTGTCTTGAAGATATGTTTATCACTGATGAAGTTGTAAGGGATGTGCCCCAGGTCAGCATCTGGACAAGACACCCGCTTAATCTTAGACACCCTGGGAATCTCATCAGCTGTGGATATAGGTATTTCCACTGAAATTGTATATTTATGTATGGCATCATGATTTTATGTGCCCAAAATCACAGATGTAAACTCCAAGCACAGGCTCAGGTTATCCACAAGCCCAGATACGCATTATCATAGTAAGTGATGTGCATCATCCTAGTAAGTAGTGGTGTTCTGATTAATTGAAACAATCAAAGATTAATCGCAGTGACCAAACGACCAAACAATCGATCACAATTACTCATAATTGAACACAAACGATTTCGGAACTACTGTTTTAGTGTTTGAAACACTTGACGATGGAACATATCTTAGAAGTTGTCAGGGCCTGAAAACATGTTTAATTCTTAGAAAGCTCACTTCACTTACTGAAAAGTCATGAGGCATGACTTTCTTGAAGACTTCAGGAAGTTTATGTTCATGATATATTAGTCATCACTTTAAAGTAGCAAGTTGCATCAGTTTACATTGGATATGAACATGATGAAGTTTGCAAATGCAATTTGCTCAGTTTCTAAATAAAACAAAAATCATAATCGAACATGAATAATTCTGGAACACTTTTTGCCTTAACAATATTTTTCACAAGGTTGGTTTTGTAAGTTACATTTCATAACCACTACAAGCTTGTTGCAAGTCATGATTGAATTTATCTTAAACACTCCAGGAATTTTATGTTCCTAACATACTGGTAATCCTTTCAAGATGTGTAATTTGCCCAAAAAAAACAAAGAACTACATGTTTTTTCTTCTTTTTCTTTGCATTAACCAAAATAACCAGGAAAAAATCATAAATGAAGCTTACCAATTATTTTCGATGATTGATCGGTTGAAATGAAGCAATGATCAATTATGAAGTTTTAACCAATTCCCAACACTAATAACAACCTGAAAATCTGAAAAATGACAAAACCAATTTGTTTCAATGATTGCTCGTTGGTAATAAACCAATCATTAGTTGTGAGATTTCAAGCAATTCCCAATACTCTTAGTAAGGCATCGATATGATACCCATCATCATACTAAGGAAGTGATACCATATGTATCATCCAAGACAAGTCTCAAATGATGCCCATCGTCATAGTAAGGATGTGATATGATGCATCTTTCAGTATCAATACATCAATTTAATAACAACTTTCTATCAAAACTTCCATCATAATAATGCACTCATGTGACAGTGAACCACACTCCAACCTCATGCCAATGAGCAACTCATAACCACAGATTATACTGACAAAACAGCAGTTGAGACAAAGTGAGAACCTGCCTGATTTTACAACTGCTTCAATGTCCTAACACACGAGTGAGTGAGTGAGGTGAGTGAGGTGAGTGAGTGAGTGAGTGAGTGGTGAGTGAGTGAGGTGAGTGAGTGAGTGAGTGAGTGAGTGAGTGAGTGAGTGAGTGAGTGAGTGAGTGAGTATGGTTTTATACGACTTTTAGCAATATTCCTGCAATATCACGGTAGGGGACACCAGAAATGAGCTCACACACTGTACCCATGTGGGGAATCGAACCCGGGTCTTCGGCGTGACGAGCAAACGCTTTAACCACTAGGCTACCCTACCGCCCCTCCTAACACAAGAATAAACACTGGTGGGGTAGTTGGCTACTGACCTTTATTAAATCTTTAATCAACCTTTCACCATGGTTCTCATCCAGACACAGAATTGATATCAACTGTGACATCAAGCCTCATTTTGATGACAAATACCTGCAAGTATAGTATAAGTTCCCAGGGATACACCAACAATCTAAGACTTACACTGAATTACATCCTTGCAAATGTCCTTGACACCACCCACATGGTCTGGGTGAAAGTGAGTGACCACAATTTCCTGTATGGATGCTGCATAATCCGACAGTGTTGACTTCAGAAGAGTGATGTACTCAGGCACATCAGCATCTCCCGTATCAATCAAGATTTTTCTGAAAAGGATTTTCATATTTCTTACATATGATCTGATCATTATGTTAACCATAAATAATCCCTCATGATATTGCATGATGGTAACTGTAGATGAAAGGTTGTGGTTGGCACGGGTACCACAGAAAGCACCCCTGGGTACATTTCAGAATACAGAAATGAATCCTAGCCTAAATCATAATCATGATAATACAGAACAGTAGCCTGTACCGAGAATGGCATACAAGTACATATTCCTCAACCGGAAACCACATCATGTTGCAGTTATTGTTAGCCTGATAACAAGTGCATTCTGGATAATGTGCATTGCAATATATAACAACTTATTCAATGTAAATCAAACGTAAAACTTAAACACATCGTAATCGCTGAATAATTCAAGTGAAATATTTTCTGTATTACATCCATAATCAGACTTATTGAATTTGATGAATAAAATTTCAATGTGTTGAAGTTACTAAAGTGACACTGTAACTGTTATTCTCTGAGAACAATACTGTCCTTATGTTTACCCATTTCAAACTTTTATTCGTTAGTCAAGAAAATTCTGGCCTCGCAACATTTTATTTGGTCTGGTACTAGTGGTAGATTTGCAAAGCTGAAAGTCCGGTTGTCTGACTAATTTTAGAGAGTAGGCTCATCTTCAACCTACGTCATCGTAAAGCGTATTTTAAACCGACACAGAATGTGTTCGCCACACCTTGGACTGGTCCCACGGCTAACGCCAGTAACGGGTTAACCCGCCTGAACTGAAGCCTGTATCTGGGGCAAAGAATATTTTTCACAAGTGTCATTTATAAGATTATCCATGACTGACTTGGGACCAGTTCCCACGAGATATGTGTTAGTTCCCTGTAGACGTGCTCCTCCTGGATTACAGCCCAGAATGCGAATAACGCGCTGGGAAAGTTGTTCCAACTTCGGCAACACAGCCGCCATTTTGTTAAATCACATGACCTTAGGATTGTCATGAATTATTAGATCTATGGATGCGATGCTGAGATTTTTCGTTTTGATTAATTGATAAAACTTAACGATAAGTTTTATTTCATTCCATGTTAAAATTATCATATTTTCTGTCAATTATATTACGGCCTGGACTTGCGGAATTTACCGAGCTCACATGTTATTTCCGGACAGAAACGGAAGTGCCATACTTTTGTTCAAGATGTCTTGCCGATCGTGATAAGATTGACCAAGTAATCAAGATTGTGATATGACATATCGAAAATGTCGAATCAAAGGTAACCTAACTTTACCTCAGAGTAATAAGCTATACGATGTATATGCGGACGGATATTTCAAAATAGATCTATGAACTGGACGAGGATCTTGTTTTCGCCCTCCCCTGTCAACTACGAAACCACAAAATATTCCAACATTTCTAGTTCTCATCGTTCATTTCCCTTTTGATGTTGAAATTATTAGTTTATGTAATTAAAGTCTACATGTTCTTAACTTGGAACCTTAGCCTGACCTTGATCAAGCTTAGAACAACTGGTCAGCTGACAGTTTACTTTGCACATCGCATCACAGGGTCTGATCATTTCAATTTTAAAGGTTGGCCTGCTAATTTTGTTTATCTTGCTCACACATTTTCAGTTCTGATAACTATCCATACTTTTGACCATAGTCCGCTCCCCTTGAAGTTATCTGGGTTTTCTGCAAAACCGTTTTTGCTTGCAGTCCAGTCTCCAGTTATTGTATTAGTACACATAAAGTTATGACAACATTTATGATGTTTTTTGGAGTGACAGACAGGCAATATGTCAATGATGAAAAATCTAACCACAAACAATTGAATGGTTACTGCATATGACATTGTTTGGACCGTTGCATATGTGAGAAAACATCTACAAATCTACAACTCATTAAAATAACTGCTTAATTCACTGTAAGTGTTATACCATCTCTACCTGTCAGTTTCCTGTGAATATGCAGTCTGCAATATGGAAGCCTGGGTCAAATAAAATTCATTCTGACAGCTGCTGTCAAGTATTCTTCACTAATAACCTTGATGGTAGTCTTAATAATAATATTAACAGAAAAACATTAAGCATGTGAAATCTACTGGAAGTTGTGCTCAAAAGCTTAAGGCATGGAATTTCCTGAACAATTTTGGATGCAAAATAACAACAGGCTACTACTTTGAACAGAAACAGGACAGGTGATTCTATAAAGGACATTGCAACCAGTTTGTGATTTGCAGCCATTCCGAGGAGTAGAATGCTTTGCAAATCCTTCAGAATAAAATGGAAATTGCAGAGAGGTCCCTAATAGGCTATATCAGGATTATTCACATTGCCCACAACCTACAATCTAAGAACAAGTAGAATAGATCATTGTGTAATAAAACTGTAGGCAAAACGGGATTAATATGTGATCACATTGAGAGGACACCAGACAAAACTAAAAAGTATGGTAATTTATCATGCTCATGCATCATGTTTATGGTCTTGTGACCATGGTAACTGTAGTACCTTATCAATAATAAGGGGATACAGCAATTTCAAGTGCAAGGGACTTAGGTGATTTGCCATTGAAAAAGACAATGACTCTGGCTCAATTTCCTGACATTTCTGGAACCTTGCCCACAGGGGTTTTGCCTTTGTGTTAAAATTTGTCTGAAGCTTTGTATTTATTGCTTGAAATTCTGAACATTATGTTTTCTGGCCTGAAATAGTTATTCTGGTTACATTACAGTCCTGAGGGATACCTACTTTGAAATGCTGTTGAGTATCATCTCAAGCAGTACAAAGACCACACCACCAACTCTTAAAGGCAGTTTATCACACCACACATCTCTAAAAATATATAATGCATTTCTCTCAATAATACCAACTATCAGCCCTCAGGGAAGCTACCATATTATTGATTCCAGGAAGAGTTATGTATTTAGATTACAATATTACATTAAAAAGTTTGAATGAATTGGTGAAACATTGCATTAAATCGACTCTTGCACCCTTTAACAGCCAAACATTATTTCAAGCGAACCCCATAGAGTTCTGTGCCTTTGAGCACTCTTTTCGAATATCCTATGCACAACTTGTGATTGAAACCAGTTCGGCACACACCGACAACACTGCATGCGACAGTTTTCGATGTAAGGAGTAATTGTTTACATTCCATAAATAGGCAAGTGTTCTCTGTTTGGAAGCTGTTCGCCTTGAAGTTTCAATTATCAATTACAGGCAAGTCACAAGGGATAATAAGTCTTTTATTGCATCAATAGGAAGCTAAAGTGAGTGCATATGCCCCAATATATATAATATAGGCCAAAATATTGTTGAAAATGTGTGACATCGCTATATAAATATCCAATAATAATAATAAATAATAACATTGTGCCTTTAAATTTCATACATTGTCATGTATAAATTGTGTATTTTTGTGCTGTTAATCATTGAACAAATCTGTTTCCTTTAAATGTTTGTTTTAACATGTCTTTTCTATTCAGCGAGTTAGTGAAATTAAGTGAAGAAACACTTGCCCGCCAGCCAGATGAAGTGTTTGATCTTATTTGTAAAATTGGAAGGGGGTAAGGACAAGATTTTTGATGTGCTCTCCGGGAATGTGGCCTGCATCATCTAAATCTAGAGTAGAACGCCCTGCATCGATCGACAATGGACATCGTGAATATATGGATGCATTATTTCTCGTATCAGTCATTTCCTCGTATTCTCAGATATTTTGCAAGTATTTTTTATATTTCAAAATCTGCCAACATGCTTGTTTAGGTGTTAATCAGTTTCACTGCCAAATTAAATTGACTGAACAAGAGTTGTTACATATGTGCACGATGTTCACAACCCTATTTACTGGGTCTTACTTCGGTGGAGAGTGCACATGGAATGTATCTTGCTATGTGGTGATCAGGTAACACTGACAGTTGTAATACAGCCTGAACTTCGAATTCACTTGTTGAAAAACTGAAAGTTTTTCCAGAAACAGAAGTGTTTGTTTTAGTTTGTTTCTATAAAAAATAGCACGAATGGCATATGTAAGTGCATGTATTGTTCAAATGATGAAACTTGTTCTGAGTTGTTGATGATCATATTTCAAGATACAATCACCTGATGCGCTTCTCTGCCTTTAGTTAGGCTCAGAACAGTCCTGTCAGTAAGTTACACCAACAGTCACCATAGTAACTGACAGATCACTGAGACCGTTGTCATGGATATATTACATGAGGAAGTACGTGAGTGTCGGTTACAAACAGAAAACAATTTTGATTTTTTAAACCAATAGAAGTATGTTTTGTAATAGATATTGATGGTCGATTTTGAAATGGAATTTCAATTCCCAACACGTTACAAATTGGGGAATTTTGGATTCTGTTGTGTAAGTTTTGTTGACAGGATTGTTGTGATTGTGACGAGTTCTGATGCCAGAACTGAGCTGTTGCATGCTGTTCCTCTGCTGTCTGACCTCTCTGTTTAATGTAGTGCACACTTAAACCGATTAAGTGAAGAAAGCCTAACCAGGCCGCCTGAAGAGGTGTTGGACATTTTGGGCAAGCTGGGAGAAGGGTAAGCTTCAAGACACGGAGGACTTGAAACATTCTTATAGCAAGTTTGTCAAAACCATAACCAACTTTAATAGCACTCATGACAGAGTCGTCTGGTAACTTTTCACGAGGACTAATGTATGTTAATATGGTTTAACCAATCTTCTAAAACATTAAATACCAGGACCATGTGTCAAGATAATTTTCAAAAATGACTTTTGAGAATGAAATGTTTAGCTATTTCCGCATGTGCAGTCAGCTTAATGTTTTCTTTTCAAGTTGTTATTGTTCTGTTTGTGATCAAAGGCCATGTAATTTCTTTCATAAAACGATAACCAAATTGTTCCTTCTGTTTACATGGTTTATGTGGCATTGTTCATTTTCCTGCGGTTTACAATAAGTCTATCTAAGTTTTACCTGGCACAATGTGTCACCAAGTTATGACACAGAATGCTATCTGGATGGGCATTTAACTACACATGGTGTTGTCTTAAATCAGCTGTTTCCCAATACAGTGTACCGTGAAGAAAAAGTCAGATGATCAAGATCGTGGGGCGGGGTTTGCAAACAATAAATAATTCCAGGAAGTTGAAATATTACACCAGTGGTTTTGATTGAGGTTAGCCAACATTGATGTTTCTGATTCGTGGTCTACTGCACACTCTTTGTAATCATGGTTATATAAGATACCATTTAAATCATGATTCTTTTCGTGTCTTATGTGTCTTCCTTGATGATTCAATAATACTGTTGTCACTTCTTGCTAAATCGACTCATCAATACCTTGTTTTCCAATACTAAATCAACAACTTACAAAAAAGGTGATCATTTTGGATGTAAACTGCCATGTTACAGTATGGGCCGGGTTAATTGTAGTTGTACAGTTCTGCGTAACTTAAAATGACTTTTCTTCCTTTTACCAATTTGTTTTCTAGTTCTAAATGTCTTTATTTGAACACATTTCATTGCTGCTTGTTTGCTTGCTTTGTTTCTCACCCTTTAGTCAATTTATTTTTAACTTTAATATTTTCTGTCACATTTTCACATGAGGTAAGTTTTTTTACCGTTGTCCATTTGTGGAGACTTTGAGTAGGAGCTGTCCTTTTTGGAATCGGGATTACAGTAGAATATTGGATTGGGTCAGAACAGGTCCCATGTGACCAATGCTGGTCGTGAGAGATGACGAGGTGAATCTTGGTGGTCAGCTTTGGTCATCATTGGTGACTTTGTTGATGAAATATCAACATGCACAGATGGTGTAGTTCAATCACTGAATTGTCTGGTCCATATATGATTCTAGAGGCTGTCATCATGGAGCTGAAACATTGCTGAGTAAACTCTTAATCGACAAATACACTGTCAGCCAGTGTGCAAAATAGTTTCCGAATTTTGCTAGCCAGTCGGGCTAGCTATGCCTGACAGTTACTAGCCCACAAAATAATTCACTAGCCCGAAATTTGAATGTAGACACGGCTGTCATCATTAAGCTGCTAATATGATGAAAATGTTTATGATGCCATAATCTTGCACGGTTGAAAAGTGTGTCATAACATAACAAGTCGGAGAGAGTAATATATTTACAAATTGACCCCATGAAAATTCATTAGTAAATCTGGCCTGTGACTGTGGAGATTTACTGGCCCGACTGGATTTGTACTAGAAATGGGCTAGCGGGCAGTGGCTATTTCGCACACTGCTGTGAGCCATCATTTTCTGAACGGTGTCAACATGCAAAGTTACCTATTTGGGAATCCTTATTCTGCTGTACATAATTCTAGTAAAGCATGTTGTGTGACACATTGTTATCTTCTGTTGTTAATGATGATGATTATTATGATGGTGTTTTTGTATTCCGGGCATAGCATAAATGTCTTGCATGTCATCTGACTGACTGTCATCCACCCCATGTGTGTTAGCAGTTTGTTATTTTATATGCCCTTAAATGTCTATATTTCATTCTCACCAGTTTTCAGTATGAGATTTAATAATATATGTTTCAAATCTAACAACATTTTCAAACAAGAAAAGTTAGTGTAACATGTTGATGTTTTTATGTCTAATGATCTGATAATATTTTTCTTCTCATCTGATGTCATGGTTTTTAAACAATTCCAGTGTTCTTATGTTTTATGTTTATCATGTTTATGTTTATTTTGAATGATCAAATTGACGTGACATGACACATACCCAGGTGCTCTTCAGGTACATGTCTGCCACACACCCTTACAATTCCCTTTCTTCTGTCAGCCGAGAGGCTTGATGATAGATGTCAGTTCTCAAAGTTATTGTTATTAACAGTATAAGGTGCAGCAATTCATTGTGCAGAGGAGGGAGGGCCACATGTGGTCCAGCCATCAAAGGGGCTGAAATTCATTCTGCAGAGTTGCACCCCTTGGCACACCAGGAACCTACGGTTGTGGGTTTCCTGGTTTGTCAGTAGCGTACCAGTGTCAATGGGTTTTACCCAAGGGAAAGCTCTGAGTCCTCCAGTCCAGTAAGTCACTCCAGCCATCCCTCTCCTTCATAAAGCAGCTATTTACCTGGAGTACTCTTAAAAGCAATGTTTACTTAATCGGTGTGTCGCAGTACAGTTTCATGTCTTACGTCAACATCAGGATCTGCTGAACGGCTCAAAATGAAACTCTAGCCTTAGCCTATCTGCCATCATTCTTGTAGGTATGAACATGCTGTTCAAAGTGGGTTCAATTCAATACCTCTGAAATGAACCTCAGCTAGTTTCTATCATCAAATAGTTCACAGATCTATGTTATAGAACTTATACCAAGGGTGGTAACAGTGGGTTATACCAAGAGTGGTAACAGTGGGTTATACCAAGGGTGGTAACAGTGGGTTATACCAAGGGTGGTAACAGTGGGTTATACCAAGGGTGGTAACAGTGGGTTATACCAAGGGTGGTAACAGTGGGTTATACCAAGGGTGGTAACAGTGGGTTATACCAAGGGTGGTAACAGTGGGTTATACCAAGGGTGGTAACAGTGGGTTAGCCAAATGGTTAAAGTGTTTGTTGAGTGCATGGGTTTGATTCCCCACATGGGTACAATGTGGGAAGCCCTTTTCTTTTAATGCTGAAATATTGCTAAAAGTGACATAAAACATGACTCACACACTCACTGTAGGGGTGGAGAAGATATGTTAGCTGTTTCCCTGTGTTACTGTTTATAATGTGCTGCAGTGACATGGGTACATGCTTAATAAAATCTTGTGTGATAGTTTCTCAACCACTGTAGCCTTTATTTCTTGAGCTGCGTATGATGGAAACAAACATTCCTGTATGGCCATTCTTTATTCTTTTTTTTATCACTTTATTTCTTTTTGATCTGGGTGCAGCATATCATGCACATTAACAAGTCAGCATTTTTGTTGCTTTATATAGGAGTCAAATTACAAAGTCATTATCTATGTAGATTCTTTATAGGGTAGATGTATATTCTGCAGTTTCATATGTGAACAGTATTCATTCTAGAAATACTTCCTTCAAGAGTGTTGAACACTAAAAATAGATCAAATATTTTCGTTTGTTTGTCAAGTTATTGCAGGGATATGACTTGACATATTTTAGGGTCAGGGTCATGTCTGATACTTTATTATCAGGGACAAGTTTCAGACGAAAAACAGAACATGCCTGATATTTCAGGGGCATCTGTGATTTGTCTGCTATCTGTCATGTGTGAGATGTCACATCTCATGTCCATGTGTCCTGGGTGTCTGCAGTGTCGAAGACCTGGTAGTGGTGATATGTTTCTGATGTGATAGGTCAAAGTGTTTGATGTGTCTGAGACCATGGTCTGCGGTGTTAGTCATGTGTCTTTTATACCTCAGACATGCATCTGATAACAGTATTATGTCAGATTCATGTATATGCCTAATGTTTCTAGGGGACATTTTCAACACATCTGTCTTGTGTCAGACACATTCAGTGTGTCAGGTATGGGTCAGTTTGGGGCGGTGGGGCAACCTAGTGGTTTGATTCCCCACATGGGTACAATGTGTAAAGCCCATTTCTGGTATCCCTGTCGTGATACTGCTAGACTATTGCTAAAAGCGGCATAAAACTAAACTTCACTCACTCACTCAGACAAGCTGGTTCATGTTTCATACCAGTAAGGGAATGTCATATGGAGAAAAGCTTATGTGTCCAGTGTATACGTAGACAGTGTCCATGTTGGGGCATGTATCTGACCAGTCCAGGGTATGTGTCCAGTGTGTCAAGGACGTTTGTCCAGTGTGTAATGTGCATGCTGTTCTACCCCCTGCCCAGGTCCTATGGCAGTGTATTCAAGTCCCTGCACAAGGAGTCGGGCCAGGTCCTCGCTATCAAGCAGGTCCCGGTGGACACCGACCTCCAGGAGATCATCAAGGAGATCTCCATCATGCAGCAGTGCGACAGCCCCTTCATTGTCAAGTACTATGGCAGCTACTTCAAAAACACAGACCTATGGGTACGTAGTCAGAATTTGTTAATTGTCACTTCTGCCCTCTGATGAAAAGGAATGTTTTAGTTCACCTGGCATAATTGTTTTCTTAAGAGGCAGAGGGATTAATGTGTTTGTGAAGAGTAATTACTTTTAGAAGATCCAAGCTTTTTCAAGGCATATCTATTTGCACTCGAAATCTAAGCTAGAAAATTTCAAAGTGCCAGGCATCATTTACTCTTTTGATAAGTCCACGGACACGTTTGAGTACAGATGATGAAAACACTCTGGACATAAAGCAGTCCCTAACTACAGGTTTATGTGTGTGATGCCAGTGGGCAGGTCATGTGACATTCATGTGACATTCATGTGACTGTGTGTTCTCTCCGCCAGATCGTCATGGAGTACTGTGGAGCAGGGTCTGTTTCCGACATAATGAGGTTACGGAATAAAACTGTAAGTATTTTTGGCAGTAGCCACTCTCATCAGTGTTTGTTACAGTGTTTGGAACTGGGTTCCCTCCCCAAAATGTCGTAAGATGCAACTAATGGGATCTAGTGGTCATTCCCGCTAACTTTGTTGACACATGTCATCATATTCCAATTGCGTAGATCACCGCTCATGCTGTTGATCACTGGATTGTTCAGACTCAATAATTTACAGACCACCACCCTATAGCTGGAATATTGCTGAGTGTTGCATAAAACTAAACTAACTCACACACTCACTCTCAAAATGGGTACAAAGGGTCCCCATCTCAATACAGTCAGCAGAATCTCTTCAGGCTTTTTACACAGGACTATACACACACCCTTTCCCATGTCAACTGACAACCACAAGAACATGGAGACATAACATGAGGCAGCTAGTCCAGCTCCATTATTTACAGACAGCTGTCATGTAGCTGGAATATTGGTGAAATACAATAAACAAGCAAACTTGATATAATGGTTATTCCAAGATTTGAGTTTGATTGATGTAAATGGTCATTATATTCATATTATGAATTAAGGGGAACCGTAAGTTAAACATTCTACTGAACTTTATTTCTTTATGTACAGAAACATCCTTATCAAAGATTGAGGAATATGTACAACAGTTAAAGCCCCAGGGCCTACAAGACAGAGTAGCCATGAAATGTGTCAGGAGAGAGCATGTATTATGTTACCTTCATGTAAAATACTTTTAATTTCACTGGTCAATGACACTTTAACAAGTTTCCGGGAGGGGTGACAACTGGAAAAAGTATTACCCACTGCCACAGTAACCACCAAACTCTCCGCCGAGAAGCTGTGTCACTAACAATCCTATGACGTCACAATATGCAGTGCACAGAGTTTGAAACCGTTCGATAAAATGTTTTTGAGTTCAGTTTGTACACATTTATTTAACCAACTTTCACTGCTTGTTTTAAACTATTTTATTCATTGAATCATTTGCATACTTAACTTAAACATAATTAACAATTTTTATAGCAGTTTTAAGCTTGTCAGAATATGTTTCATATGAAAATCCAGTCGAGAGGCAGACGCCATGTTGTTTGCATGTCATATGGTCAGTAGCAAGCTTATCGATCTTCAAAATAAATTAATGATATTTGTACATTTAACTTGGCAGTTATATAAATACATTGTAAACTTCTCCCTCGGATAATACGGTCTGATGTACGCCTTTTTGTAGCAGTATGATCCTACCAGCTAGGGGGACACTGCTACAAAAAGGTGTACATCAGACCGTATTACTCTCAAGTTGAGCATACAACTTAAAATCGTGCACAGTGCTGGGGCTGTCGTAGCAATGTACAGTGCTATAAGACAGTATGCAGCCTAACACACGGCTGGGGCTGTCGTAGCAATGTACAGTGCTATAAGACAGTATGCAGCCTAACACACGGCTGGGGCTGTCGTAGCAATGTACAGTGCTATAAGACAGTATGCAGCCTAACACACAGCTGGGGCTGTCGTAGCAATGTACAGTGCTATAAGACAGTATGCAGCTTAACACACGGCTGGGGCTGTCGTAGCAATGTACAGTGTTATAAGACAGTATGCAGCCCTAACACAGCTGGGGCTGCCGTGCTAGCAATGTACAGTGCTATAAGACAGTATGCAGCCTAACACACGGCTGTGGCTGTCGTAGCAATGTACAGTGTTATAAGACAGTATGCAGCCTAACACACGGCTGGGGCTGTCGTAGCAATGTACAGTGCTATAAGACAGTATGCAGCCTAACACCGCGGCTGGGGCTGTCGTAGCAATGTACAGTGTTATAAGACAGTATGCAGCCTAACACACGGCTGGGGCTGTCGTAGCAATGTACAGTGTTATAAGACAGTATGCAGCCTAACACACAGCTGGGGCTGTCGTAGCAATGTACAGTGCTATAAGACAGTATGCAGCCTAACACAGGGCTGGGGCTGTCGTAGCATTGTACAGTGTTATAAGACAGTATGCAGCCTAACACACGGCTGTGGCTGTCGTAGCAATGTACAGTGTTATAAGACAGTATGCAGCCTAACACACGGCTGGGGCTGTCGTAGCATTGTACAGTGCTATAAGACAGTATGCAGCCTAACACACACATGGCTGTGGCTGTCGTAGCATTGTACAGTGTTATAAGACAGTATGCAGCCTAACACACGGCTGGGGCTGTCATAGCAATGTACAGTGTTATAAGACAGTATGCAGCCAAACACACGGCTCTGCAACCAGGGTAGCATTTAACAACATTTATGCTATGACACAACTTGTACGTTTTCAATTTCCTGTCCTTCAGCTGTTGTTGCTAGTTCCTTGTATCACTCTGTTGAGATGTTCAGCATGCTGTGACAATCCGTGTAGCAGTATGGTGTCCACAAGTTGTTTGTGATAAAATTACCAAACAAGCATGTCTTATTGAGTATATCTATGGAATCAGAACAAAGCCCAGGGTTAGTAGAGTAGCTCAATCAGGGTTCGAAATACCCCATATATTAGGGTGCCATGGCACGGCAAATACTGAAATGGCACGGATAAAAAATGTTCTTGCTGTTCTTATGGCACGCATACCTCACCTTTAGTCATGTAATCCCCAAAACAAAACACTTACGCAAATGACAAACAAGCAAAAACATTCATTGACTTTATCGCCCAGGAAATCACTGGAATTATGATGGATGATGTCAAGAAATCTGATTGTTTTTCCATTTAGAGTGATGGGAGTACTGATAGATTGGTTATTGAAGAGGAAATTGTGTATGTTAGATATATTGAACAAGTAAACCTGTCACAAAATTCTTAGCTATTAAAGGTGTTTCGCAGAACAAATGAAGCTTAAGAAAGCCATCTTAAACAAGACATATCGGTAATAACCGAAAACAGGTTACATTTGTTGTTTACTGACAACATTTCAAATGATCATCATCCTTGCTACATGTGGGCACACTTGATTTCTGAAAGGCATGTTTAAAATATTTGCCTGGTGCTCTGAGGCACACTTAGAAAAAGAAGTATTTCTATCCCTGTCAATTGTGTAATACTCACCCATCACACCTAAGGTGCAAACCCCCACATAGGTACAAAGCATCAAGCCTATTTCCGGTGTTTCCTGGTTTGAAAAGCAGTGTACAACCAAACTCTCCTTGTTCAGGCTAGCTCAAACATCTGGGTTGAGACACATACTATCATCCCACACCTTCACGTAGGGTATGTTGGAATGGTGTCCTTTCATTATTCTAAACATCCAGTTGCTTCTCAATGGGCACATATTTTCTAAAAAGATATTTATGTTTGAGAACTGAACTTTTATACACTGATGCAACGAATTGGTAAACTGAGTTAAGAAATCTGTGTCTTAAATTAAGTTTCTGCAGAGTTATAGCCCTTGTTCTGTGCTTTTCAACATTATGCAAACTGTGTGCAGTGGGTTTTCACAGAAACTGCTCAAATCAGACAAAAAGTTTGCATGTGTATCAGTGAGGTAATTTTTTTTAAAAGATGTGACATAAAATATTCAAAAATATTTCCAGAGTTACTTCCCTTGCTACGTTTTTGTACTCTTGAGCATACCCATTTGAAGACATAGCATATGAATGGGGACATGTATTCTCAGAAATTACTGAAGTTTGGTGAAGTTACTCAAGAATGGGTTAGACGATTATATAAACTAAATTAAAGCAGCCCTTGTGCTTATGACTCTGGTATCTTCTTGTGGCTTTATGTGATACGTTCCTTTCAAGTTGACAATTACTTCACCATTATACATGAACAAACATAATTCTAGTGTGCTGATCGGGGGTAACTGTTGGAGAGGGTTTCTAGAAGTTGTAAGCAATAGGAGTAACAAGTGTTTATGGATGATCAACTTCATATTGTACAAAGGTACATTTCGGTACAGATACATATACCGTTTTCAAGCATGAGGTGGTGAATGAGTACAGCCGGATATATATGGGGTACATGAGGGCTAACAAAGACAATGGATGCTAAAACAAGATGATTTACAATGGGGATAACACAGGGATGTGGGGATGTTGTAGTGCCCATATGTACGTATAGTTTGTAGGGCATCAAGTGCAACATTACAGCCATAAAGTTTATCATCTGATGGAGCAGTTTACAAGTTGTATATTCGACTTTCAGAATGCAAAATGTATATATGATACTGTGAACACAGTTTACAAATTGTGTATTAGATACTACTGATATCTCTGGATATATAGGGTGGAATTAGATGGTGGTAGGTGAAGACATTATTCCAGGGGGTGGTGGGGTAGTCAAGTGGTTACAGCGCTTGCTCGTCACGCCGAAGGCCCGTGTTTGATTATCCACTTGGGTACAATGTGTGAAGCCCATTTCTGGTGACCCCTGCTGTGATATTGCTGGAATATTGATAAAAGCAGTGTAAAACTAAGCTCAATCAATCAATCAATTAATCAATATTCCAGGAGACCTAATCAGGATAAAGAATCTGGTGGTGTGACTCATGGTCTGTAACATGGTGGGCAGTTTGTCATCATACCTACGCATTGTTGATTGGTTACAATGTCTATCACTGGAATGGCTTCTGCTGTTATGATTACTTACATAATATATCGTCACTATATGGCTGAAATATTGCCCAGGTGACTTTAAATTTTAACTCACTCACTCACTACATAATATGACTTGAATATTGCTGTGTTATATTTGAAGAAACAAACCTAAATAGAATTAGTAGCAAACAAACAAGTGAGTGATGATGTTGTGTGCAGCTGAACGAGGAGGAGATAGCCACCATCCTGGAGTACACTCTGAAGGGCCTGGAGTACCTGCACTCCCGCAGGAAGATACATCGAGACATCAAGGCCGGCAACATCCTGCTCAACACAGAGGGCCATGCTAAACTGGCTGACTTCGGGGTAGCCGGACAACTCACAGTGAGTACTCTCCCTGTCATTATAGTCTTTGTGTGCTGGTGATTAGGTTCTTGGCTCTCAGAGTGTGGGTTTGAATCCTGGATGGAATACAACACCCCAAAGGTACTAGAATCTGAACTGAGAAAGAGTAATCCCAAATATAACAATTGCTATCCAAATTATTTTGTGCACAGAATCATGAAAACAGATTCCTCTACTTCTAACATAGAGCATTTGTATAGATTCATATAGGTCCACCCAAGCTGGTCTCAGGCACCCCATGCTTGTCTTAGAGGCAACAGATGGGATGAGGTGGTCAGATTCACTTACTTGGTGGATGCATGTCATCATATACTCAGTAGTTGCTCATTTTTGGATTGTCCGGTCTAACTTCTATAATTACAGGCTGATTGATGTCTTATAGGTGGAATTTCCCAATTTCCCGGCGTAAAAACCTAACAAATCATAGTCCATTGACAGGTTTCTTTACTAGTCTGAACAGGGAATAGTATCAACTTTTTTCCAATAGGGACCTTTCCCAATTTCAACTGACACTTCTCCTATTTTACATTTTCTGGAGTTGATGCAGATGATGTGTAAGCTGTGGTGTGGTCTGTGTGTAAGGCATATATATCCACACCTGGATCTATCCTTTCAGGACACAATGGCCAAAAGGAACACTGTGATTGGGACACCCTATTGGATGGCACCGGAGGTGATACAGGAGATAGGTTATGACTGTGTAGCAGATATATGGAGTTTAGGTGAGTTGGTTGACAACACACAAGTGAGACCAGTTGTGGAACTCCCATAATATTTGGGTTGGAGTAGTATGAATTTCATGACCTTGAAGATGTTAACATATTATAAATCCCTTATCTCACAAGATATAAAAATTGTAGTCATCATGATGATCATGTTTTTGTAGTCTATGTAATGCAGTGTATGAATTATGGGACTAAGTTATAGTAAAGGAAGTGTGAGTGTATCTGTATGTATGTTCCAGGTATCACTGCCCTGGAGATGGCCGAGGGGAAGCCCCCATACGGAGACATTCACCCAATGAGGGTAGGCAGACATAATAATAAAAATAATAATGCCTTGCCCAGGGATACAGCACAGTATGAGACCCAGGTCACATGCTGAACAGGATCGTGTAACTCCAGTGCAACTCCAGTGCAACTCCAGTGCAGTCTGTGAATCTAGCTTCTAATCTGAAGACAGAGTCTAGTAAAACTGCTGCTGTGTGCAGTATTCTCACCTAATAGCGCAGTAAACTATGTAATAAATACTTATAGCGGACTGACTGATATCATGAACTGTATTTTGGTCCCTGACACCTGCTGTGTAGTTTATTTGAACTGTAATTAGTGGTCCCTTTGTGTTCGTTATCACTAGTTTACTGTAGTCTGTATGATAACATTAATCCCTGCTGAAAATATGGCTTCTATTCATGTTGAGGCAAGTAGACTCAAATGTATATAGACTGAGACTGTTATCTGAATGACTGTACAGATCATTGCCAGTTTTAAGTAAACTTAGGCTCAGTATTATTCGTTACACTGCTATACTGAGTCTAACAGAACTATGTAGAAAGTCGCATCAGATAACCTTTGAGCTGACCTATGACCGTCCAATCAAACACAAGACGGACGAACGGATTCAACCAATCAGACAACGACTACTTGTTAGGGTTCGACGGGACTTACAAAACATTTTTTGAATTTTCTTTCTCTGTTTGCTGACACTGATCTATCAACAAACGAAAATCCGCATAAAAGACATATATTTGACCTGCAGTATATATGCTTATGGGTTTCTAATGACATGGTTACTATTTGCTTATATTTTTGCAAGATGACATCCTTGAATATTGACAAAAATGCTATTTTCAGCGACTGTTTACTCATTGTGTGTATCACTCGGAAGCGATCGTGCAGAAAATAGCATTCGGAATCGTTCAAGTTTTTTTAGGTAAAGGTTCAAACGCTATGTGCGAATGTTAACTTTCGCGATTTGGTAAGCTGTGTTCTGATTGGTCAATCCAAAAGGTTAGCTGAAGCGACCTTCTACAAGGTATTGTTAGACTCAGTCTAAGTTTACTTAGACTGAGGTCTTTGCATATATTTAAGTTAAGTGAGTGGATACGATAGTTCTTGTTTGCTTGATATAGTTGATGCATGATTGTCCGAATACAAGTGAAGTCCAAAATAGTTCTTGTTTATCTGCTTGATATAGTTGATGAGTCATGATTGACTCGAAAATACAAGTGAAGTCCGTGGACAAAAATACTCTAGGGTTGTTTATCCCAACTGTGTTTATCTACAGTATATGCAAGTATATGGAGTATATGCAAGTATATGGAGTGTGGTGTTGATTACAGGCGATCTTCATGATACCCACCAAGCCACCGCCATCCTTCAGGAACCCAGACAAATGGAGCCCTGAGTTTATTGACTTTGTCTCAAAGTGTCTAGTGAAAAATCCTGAAACCAGAATCACAGCATCAGAACTTTTACAGGTATGTGATGGATTATCTCCCTTTGGTCACCTCAAACGTTGTGTTTACAGTATAGCAACTTGAAGAGTATTACTTCATACTATTGATAATATGATAACCCTTGATCTCACTTCCCACAGTTTAAATAAAGTAAACATGTTTCAATGCAGTATCAAACAGGTGTGCATTTGTGTGCCTCAAACACTGCATATATGTTTTGATTCTATGATGAATAAGCTTTCAGAAAATGCTCAATTTACTGTTCTAAAAATATGGACGTTGGAGATAGTTGCAGTGAATGCTGTTCAATTTTAAAAATATGGGCCATTTTGAATGCTCGTCCTAATTTGCTATGATTTTTCTTTGGACTTTTTCTTTCATGTCATTCTATAACTTGTAGAACTATCAATGACTGTACTTGTTTCATTATTTATATAAATACCACATGTAGACACATCATTGTGCGACATGCAGGCTGTGGATAGTCAGATATATTTGTGACTCTCACGTAGTCACTGATACACATTATGTGGGACCTGTCTTGCGTCGACCTTACATCCTCCAGAGTATACAATTAAGAGGAAACTGATAAACATGACCGTTAAATGAGTAATTAGGAGGTTAAAATTAAGTGTCCCAGTTAGCATAATATAGTCACAATAGATTGCAAGCTTTATTCATCTGAAGTCATATCATGCCTCGCTACCGTTTCAGTGATGTACTACGTGGATGCTGTTTTCTACACCCTTCTCTGTTTTAGCATGATTTCATCAAGCAGTCCAAGTCTTGTGAGGTTCTACAGAAGATGATTCAGGAAGCCAAGGAGATACAAGATGCTCATTCCATGGTGACGCTCAATGGGGATGATTCAGTAAGTCCAACACATGCTGGTTGTAGTCTCGTGGGGATTCCCCAGGGGATTCCCAGGCAGGTCTCCTGAACTCCTCCTTGTTAGAGCTGACTAATACTGAATAAACTATGCTGGACAAATCACTCAGAATCAGAAATACTAGAGAACAAGAACTGAAACTAGAGTTTAAAGCTATTCAATGGAGTTTCATGAAGTAAATACCTTCAGAGATTACATATGTACTCTTATGCAGACAATGCACTTTCACACTGCAAATGGGAGGGGGGGGTGAATAAAAGGGAGGTAATTTTTGTATAATTCTGGGTTGCCTCCCATAGTTGTATTTGTTGTATGTAGAGTATAGAGATATTAAGACTTGTGTAGAGCCGTAGAGGTGAAATACTGTCCAGGTGGTCTAGGTCTAGGTCTATTTCACTAGTGTCTAGATGTCACTTGTCGCTTGAGGTTGCCAGGGGGATGAGGATGAAACAGATGGAACGATGGTGAAGAAGACCGAGGATGTTGATGGAACCATGAAGGCTCAGAGAGAAACTGGTACAGTTACAAGTTATTTGGCAGCAGGAGACTTTATCATGAAGCTGTCATAGTGCTAAGCTTGTCTAAAGATGTCAGCGAAGAAAGGTCAAAGCTGAGTGTATTCTGAAAGCTGCCCCCAGTCTATTTTACCTCTGTCACACAAGAGTTTAGCTATGAATGATATGTGTATGTAGATAGTGTTATGGTAGGTCTAAGACAGCTTCAAGATTAGGTCTTTTGGTTGTCCAAATTTTTAGTCGTAAGTAAGATTTGTCTTAACAAGGACAGCTTTGAGAAAAGGCTGACAGATCTACAGATGATTATATTTTGATACTTTTCTTTATAGTTTGTTTTCAATTTAGTAATACGTTTGGACCTTTGAACCCTTGTGCTGTGTTGATATATATCATGGTTATTGTGCATTATAATATCAGTGAGAATTGCACATATAACATACTTACTTGTGTATGGCAGTTAAATATGAAAACAGCCAAGGTGGATTTGTATATTAGCATAATCATATGGACTTAAGAGGTGGAATAACATTGTATGGGTTTCTCATTGGGCCTTATTCTAATGCACCAACTATTTGTTTTGCAAAATCAACAGTGCCTTATAAAAAGATGATAACAACTCCAAAATGATATCTTCATCCTTGACTGTAGCCAGATCAACCACCTCTATGATGCAGCGGATAGAGCATCTGCCAAGAGAACAGAAAGTCCCTACCTGACCTTTAGCCAGAGAGCCATTAAACACTCAGATTTCCCAGGCTTGTAATGAACATAGTGTGCCCATTTTATGTTGCAACATCTTATCTCAGTTGGCTAGCGTGCAGCCAATATATGTATGCACTTGGCAATTTTGGTGAAATAATCTTGAATGAGAGGTTATGCCTATCTAGCCTCACGTGTGCATGGTTCTATCCCATGAGATATCTTTCATGCTTTGCCTCACCCTTGTCAGTATTTAGTTATATCACAGCAGTCACTGTGGTATATGAAGGGATATAGCTGAAGACGTCATGGAGTTGTTCCATATGGTGGAAGATATTGCATTGTGTTTTGTAGACACACTAGTCCCTGGCAGCAACAGCGGCACGGTGGTCGTCAACAGCGAGGCCAACACGTTACAGTCAGAGCTTGGCACCATGGTCATCAACGAAGATACCGAGGATGACGATGGAACAATGAAGAGTAAGAGAAAGATGTAGCACCTACGGGTTATTGTGATCAAAATTCCTTCTTCCTTGTGATCGCACTCTATACACTGTTGTGGCAATACATCTTAGTAAAATTATTGTTACATACACAAAGAGCCTTTTCTCTTACTGAGTTCTCTTTCTCCGTGTGAAATCAATTTAGTTGCCACTCTGTTTTCTACAAGTTAATTTCTATTTAGATCTTTGGTAATGCATGATGTTCAATGGTGGATGTGTTATGACTTATTTGTGATCGTTAACTGACAGTTGTGACTGTCAACTTACTTGATTGTGACTATCTACTGTTATGTATGATTGTGACTGTCGACTTACAGTAGAACACGGATATAGCGAACACGGATGTAGCGTACAAACGGATATAGCGAACAAATTTAAAAGTCCCGTCAACAGTCCTTTATAATATCATTAAAATTATACGCGAATAAGCGAACTTCGTGAGTAGCGAATTAGCGACTATAGCGAACTGATTTCCTACCCCCAAGCCCAACTATCGGCGTGATTAGCGAACTCATTAGCGTGTCTGTGATGCAGTCGGCAAAATGAAGTCTGCAAGACGTGGTGTGCAGAGCAAAATTGTATACTTTGTTAAACGTAATTAAGTTATATACATGTATTGTTGAGATTGTTGTGATTGTTAAACATGTTCTAGCTAATGTCTGTGAATGATAAATTCAGAATTTTAATGTTATGTCAATGTACATGTACAAGAATAAATATTTGTAGCCTCAGCATATACGTGTCTCTACATCTCTACAATCCAAGATGGCGGTCAAATGTGAATAACCAACACCGGATATAGCGAACTAAATTTCGTGGTCCCTTGGAGTTCATTATATCCGTGTTCTACTGTACTTAATTGTGACTGTCTATTGTTATGTATGATTGTGACTGTCTACTTACTTGATTGTGACTGTCAACTGACATAATTGTGACTGTCAACTGACATAATTGTTACTGTCTACTGCCATGATTGTGACTGTCTACTGATATAATTGTGACTGTCTACTGACATGATTGTGACTGTCTACTGACATGATTGTGACTGTCTAGTAACATAATTGTGACTGTCTACTGCCATGATTGTTACTGTCTACTGACATAATTGTGACTGTCTACTGCCATGATTGTTACTGTCTACTGACATGATTGTGACTGTCAGTAATAATTGTGACTGTCTACTGACATGATTGTGACTGTCTACTGACATGATTGTGACTGTCTACTGCCATGATTGTGATCCTCAACTGACATAATTGTTACTGTCTACTGACATGATTGTGACTGTCTACTGACATGATTGTGACTGTCTACTGACATGATTGTGACTGTCTACTGACATGATTGTGACTGTCTACTGACATAATTGTGATCCTCAACTGACATAATTGTAACTGTCTACTGACATGATTGTGACTGTCAGCTAACATAATTGTGATCCTCAACTGCCATGATCGTGACTGTCTACTGACATAATTGTGATCCTCAACTGACATAATTGAGACCGTCTAATGACATAATCATGACACTTGGTGACTGACTGTTCCCAGGACATGATACAGCAACTGCGGGGAAGGAGAAGTACCGTCCAGCGTATCTCGACCATTTTGAGAGGAAGGAGCAAGAGGAGAGACAGCGCTCCACCCCCCAGCCAACGTCTGCCCCACAACCTCACCTACAACCCGCCCAGCCAAAACAGATCACCCCACCACACCACTTCCAAAGATCATTCATGGACGGAGACTTTGAGTTTGTGAGTAACACTTCGTGATACATGATTGTTATTCATGTTGTCAGTCACTGGATTATGTGGCCATTTTTGGATGTTTCCAGGCTATGATCCCATTCTTCCAGTGTTAAACAACAACAAACAGATATAAGTGCACAACTTGGATCTGTCAAAAGAGTCCAACTATTGCTCTTATTATCTGTCCTATTGCTGACACAGCATCAGACTGTAACCCCTTGTTCATAGGAATCTCAGTCATTTTATTGGAAGCAAAATGACCACCAAGACCAAGTTGTAGAGGTTTTTTTACCTGGCCAGGGATTTACCTTGAGTCCTGTAGTTGAGGGTCCCTGGGACTCATGCTTATAATTTTCAGGGGTCCTGGACAACAAAATGGGGGTTCCAGACACTTACATTTATAACTAGTACTGTTATTGTATTGTGTATCATGATCATCACAATAATTGTTACAGTAATGAAATTGCAAATGATACCATAACTCAGCTATTAGCAAACTCAGTGATAACTTATTGTTACTTGAATTTTTACAGAAGTATTAGACTTTTTCTGTGTCCCTGTGGATACGCTAATAAATTTTGTTGCATCCATTGTCCCTTTTTATGAGTATAGGACACAGAAATTCGCGTCCTGTAAATGACCCAAATGTGTTGACTTTTATTACAGCTACGAAACCTTGCATATGAAGAACTGGAAGCCCGCCTAGCTGACCTTGACCCTGAGATGGAGAGAGAAATTGACGAGCTCCGCGCGCGCTACCAGGCTAAACGACAGCCTATATTAGAAGCTATTGATGCCAAGAAGAAGAGGCAACAAGTCATCTAACCTATGGTCATATCGAATAAGTATCTCTGGGAAATGTGTGACTGGCAATGTACATAGCTATGGGAACTTTTTGATCTGATAAACTGAACTCTTCATGATATCTTTGTTTACCGTCTTTTCTCTATTTATCTTCATAGTTGTAGCAGTAACTTTATCTTTGGAATCGGATGTATTGGTGAATGGGCATTTTACTTGTCGCAGGTGTATACAAAATAGTAACTGCAATGTTTGTTGATTGCACTGATTTGAAGCGTGCTGGGACTGTGTGGGAAGTCTTCCTTATTCAGAAACACCAATACACACATGTTAAAGTTCAATTACCCTGACGAGACATAAAGGGCCAATGACCATGCAACTTCTTCAAATCATGGCAGAAAGTAATTAATCTTTTCTCAATGTACAGTCCCTTTTCCGCTATTTTTGTCTCATTATGGAGACTGCCTCTGATCTTTGTGATGTCAGCATTATGATGTGATAAAGATGCTGCAGTGTCTGCAAGTCCCACAGCATAGTGGACCCTGTGAGAAAGATCATACTGTATGAAGTATTAAAGAGCTCAGAATCTCAAAGTCACTCTTAGCCAATTGATTCATATTATTGTTTCTTATTCACAAAAATCATGCATTTTCATTAATTCAATACAATACCACATATATGTTTTTGTACTTGCTTTAGACTTTTTACTGGTAGGTTCTAAAATGCAGGAAGATCACAAAGTATAAAATTTGAAAAAATCAATTCAGATTTCTTTGAGAATTTTTTCATCCTCTACAAGTAAGTTGGAAGAAAAGAGAAGATTCAGGTTTCTGCACAAAAAGGTACAGTTTATTCGGGTTTTGTTATTAAATATTGATCTACTAAACTTTTCTTGTTCAGAAAGAATTTCTGAGTGCAGTACGCAGTTGGCTTGTCAATGGGATTAAAGGGGGAAAATTCAGGAGAAAATATTTCCTTTTCAGAAAAGTTTACAATCAAAGGATACATAAGCAAATTTAAAACAGTGTGGTCTGACATTTTCAGTTGATAACCTTGCTTCATCAATGTTTCTATGTACATATTTACATGACACTTATACTCTGTAAGTGTATGTTTACTGATCGGATCAGAAAGTTCCCGCTTGATCTGAAGTGTATGTGTGGTGTCCTACACAGAGATAAATCATGGTCCTTATTTTCAGAACAAAATTGTATGTATTTATTATGAACGGACAGCTGTCAGATGGGCTGTACCAGGTGTGTCTTTGTTACTGACCCTTGTACCCTCTCGTATCATGTATCATCTGATGTACCACCCACTCACGTACCCTGTAGTGCTGGCTGGAACAGTGCACCCAGTCATAATGTTATATCTATAATGGTACTTACTTCATGATACAAAGCACGAGTTCTGGTGCTTTGTTCTTGATGCCGTTCAAATCCTAGTACTTATTGTATCTCTATTCCCTTCATGATACATGATACAAATGATACATTTGGTGTCATGGTACCTTTTTTCGTAATATACTACTCAAAGGAGTTAAAGAACATGCTTTTCTTCAACAGTTTTGAGTAGTGTATAATCCAAGTTGCAATGAAAAAGCCGTTGCATTTAAAGAAGATCTTGTTGATTAAAGACAACACAATAATGATCAGATTGAATGTTATACATAATAAGTATGATGCTATTTATGATACAATGTTGATCAGTACTAGATTATGGAACATTTGATGTGGAGATACATTTAACAGTTTCCTGAAACTTGAACATTGATTCCGATTGAACATGATGAGGATATATTGTGTATGATGTCGCTGATATCAAGGGTGTCGTTTCAGCCACTGTAACCTCGAGGTATTACTCATTGGGTCTGACCACTCTCATCTCTAACAATGTGCAATCTTAGTTGTAGATTGAAATCAATTTGATCATTAAGAATATGTTATTAATCGTTTTACAGGTTGGCAGGTCCCAGAGGATCTGATTAAAACCAGAATTTAATGTTCATTTCAGTTTTTCATTTCATGTCCCTATGTTTCCCAATACATGTTTATGTACAAAATGCTACACTAATCTCTCTGTACTTAATAACTATGTGATCCCAGAACGCAGCATTACAAGTCAGTGCTGTATGGCCATAAGTATCTGTTTAATCATTTCATCATGTCACAATGTATCATTTACACAACAAAATGTTTATTACAGCAGGCTTTGTTATATGTGATGTAAAGTTTACAGAAGCAGACCTTGGTATGACAATGTTTTAGAAAGTCTGGCTCCACAGTGACCTATCAACAGTTTTGGCTTCTCAGTGAGTCTTCTGAGTGAATGGTTTGGCTCTGCATTGAGGTGCCAGTGCCCGACTACGGCTCCACAGTGAGTTGTCAGAGTCAACAGTTTGGCTCCTCTGAGAGTTTGCTGTGTCCACAGTGCCCATGATCTGGCTTCACAGTGGGGGTACCTGTGCCCATGGTCTGGCTCCACAATGGAGGCACCTGTGCCCATGATCTGGCTCCACGATGGAGGCACCTGTGCCCATGGTCTGACTCCACAGTGAGGGCACCTGTGCCCTTGATCTGGCTTCATAGTGGGGGTACCTGTGCCCATGGTCTGGCTCCACAATGGAGGCACCTGTGCCCATGATCTGGCTCCACGATGGAGGCACCTGTGCCCATGGTCTGGCTCCACAATGGAGGCACCTGTGCCCATGGTCTGACTCCACAGTGAGGGCACCTGTGCCCATGCTCTGGCTCCACAATGGAGGCACCTGTGCCCATGGTCTGACTCCACAGTGAGGGCACCTGTGCGCATGGTCTGGCTCCACAATGGAGGCACCTGTGCCCATGGTCTGACTCCACAGTGAGGGCACCTGTGCCCATGGTCTGGCTCCATAATGGAGGCACCTGTACCCATGGTCTGGCTCCACAATGGAGGCACCTGTGCCCATGGTCTGACTCCACAGTGAGGGCACCTGTGCCCATGGTCTGGCTCCACAATGGAGGTGCCTGTGCCCATGGTCTGACTCCACAGTGAGGGCACCTGTGCCCATGGTCTGACTCTACAGTGAGGGCACCTGTGCCCATGGTCTGACTCCACAGTGAGGGCACCTGTGCCCATGGTCTGGCTCCACAATGGAGGTGCCTGTGCCCATGGTCTGACTCCACAGTGAGGGCACCTGTGCCCATGGTCTGACTCCACAGTGAGGGCACCTGTGCCCATGGTCTGGCTCCACAATGGAGGTGCCTGTGCCCATGGTCTGACTCCACAGTGAGGGCACCTGTGCCCATGGTCTGACTCCACAGTGAGGGCACCTGTGCCCATGGTCTGACTCCACAGTGAGGGCACCTGTGCGTATGGTCTGACTCTACAGTGAGGGCACCTGTGCCCATGGTCTGACTCCACAGTGAGGGCACCTGTGCACATGGTCTGACTCCACCAGTTATAGCACTGATGCTGCTTCAGGTCAGTAGTCTGAAGATGTGTGAGTAATGACCAGTAAACACATGGCTTGGGTGCCACTGTTCAACGCATCTTAGAGCTAAGGTGATCATAACTCCCATACCTCAACATAGACTGACGGCAGCACCCTGGTCTATTGTGTGTCACATGAATTATCTCCCCACAGTGTGATGCGTTGACACCCATGCCACACAGCTAGATGTGACCATGGGAACAGTCAGTGTAGGATGTGATGGTGTATGTAGATTCTGCTATAATTCTGTTTAGTGAGTTTAAAGCAATGTTTAACTTTGTTATATTAGATTTAGGCTGTTGTTCATTTTATCCAGTGTTTTATGCACAGTTTTCACTTCACCTTTTATCTGAGTCATATCTGGTTTATAACAGAACGGAACAACACTTGTGGTGTGAGGAGCTTTTCTTTGACATCGGACCTATTGTGCTGTGTTGATAGTGGTGGGTTTGTTTGAAATTTGGGAGTAAAGTGCAGCAGTCCAGGATCACTGTGAAACAATGAACAGAGGAGAATTCTTCTTTTGATGGTCCGAGAAGTTGAAGTTCTAATAATGCGTTTCACTGTATCTTGTAGCATTCTGGCATTGTGGTACATCATGGATGATATTGACTTTATGCTACATAGTGTATCATTGTGGAACATAGTGTACCATTGTAATGTATGTTGTATCACAGTGATGGAAAAGGCTGGAATATAGGACTCACAGATTATATTTCCTCAGTTATCCCATGCCCCACTACATGATTTTCCACAGCCAGCATTGACTATGTAAGCTGAGAAAAACAACAATGAACATTTTTTTTATCCCCCACCGCGCGTTTAGCGCGAAACGGGGGATATAGTATTAGGCTCCGTCTGTACGTACGGAATTGGAATATCTTAAGAGCCGTTGACTGGAATCTTTTCATATTTGGTACCCTAGGTTCATCACAGTAAAAGAAAGGTCCCAGTCAGTTTTGGTGACCTTGACCTTCATTTCAAGGTCACAAGGGGACTTTAACGTTTTAGCCTTGTCAGCAAGATATCTCAAGAACCGTTAACTGGATTTTCTTCATATTCAACACCAAGCTTTATCTAGGACAGGTGCAGGACCCAGTTGATTTTGGTGACCTTCACCTAATTTTCAAGGTCATGGCGACACTTTAAAGATTTCAGCATGTTAACCTGCATGTACATCTTCAGCTTTAATTATGACCTTCACTTTCATTACTTTTTAAGTTTGATTTGATAACTTGCGGCGGGGGATTATGTCACCTTAGTGACAGTGCTTGTTTCAAGTAAATGATTGATAACAGAATGTCTACTCAGTTAAATTCTGAGGTTTGAAACAGGCTTGTTAAACGTTATTAAGGGTTGGTGCATTTTCTCACTTCCTGCCCATTTGAGGAACCTTTCCTTAGTTACTCTACTGGAGCATTATATATTATAACGCAACCAGTATTGTTCCAATCCTCTAGACTCTTAGGAACCAATTAGGGCAATACTGATGTGAATCCACCCCAGGTCCAGACTGTAAAAGGCAGTCAGGGGCTCCATTCATGAAGCAATCTTTACTAAGGTTAATCTTAACTCCCATTCTGTAACATTGCACTAAGGTCACCTTAGTGACTTACGATCACTTTAGTGCTTTGTGAAAGGAGGCCCTGGACGACAAAGCTGTTGATCCACCTCTCAAAGTACAGTCTCTTTACCGCTATTTTTGTCTCAAGGTGTGTTATCTTCTTGACATCAGCATCATGATGTTTACAAGATAATATTGCCCTGTTTGCAGTCCCCTTGCATATTTTGTCCAGGGATCCTACCCTTTCACAGCATTACAGTATCTGTTGAGACACTTCTTGTCCATTACCTTAGGAAACATAAGGGCCTTTGATCGCCCCTAGACTTGACTGTGGACTTGCCAGGTGGACAACAGTTCATTCACCCCTGTTCTGGACCTAAATGGAACTGATCAGAAGAGGACTCACTTTCTGGATGAACAACAATACAAGAATCTGTATCGAAACATGGCATCACCAGACTATAGAAGTTGTTCATCCATAAAGTTTGTCCTTATCTGACTCTCAAGCTTCTGAAAATGCCACTCAAAGAAGGAACTGGTCAGGTCTGTTAATCCCTCAAGGGGGATGACATGCCACATTTGACCTCAATTCAGTTGTGTTAATGATTACCACTATCACACAGAGACATGACCTCACACAGTCATTTGGTTGAGACATGGACTGGAAATGGGCCCCAGATCATGGAGCACTATTCTCATTTAATGCAGAGATTAAGCGATGTTCATAGGAAGGTAGCTTCAGTGTATCACACATTGTTCATCACATTATACTGTTGTGTGTCATGCTAACACTTTGTGTACACTAACACTTGTTGATGGAACAGTTCCGCTTGTTGAGAGGTACAGGGTCTTATTGTATAGAAATCAGTGTAGATACATATGAATTGTAACAAAATATGAGGGAATGTTGAACTGTATTAACATGTATATTGAAATTAAAACTGAAAACTGAACCCGATTTTGTTGTGAATTTTGAAAGTGTGTTGTTGGGACACTCTTGTCCTGTTATACAAAGCGAGCTTGGCACTGAGATGATTGTAATTCCTTTTTTTAGCATATTCTTCCAGTAATCCTTAACTCTAATGTCACTGTGTGGAACATGGTGAATTGCCTGCCACTCGTTAAGTTGGATAAAATTATCCTCTTGGGCTGACCATAGACTGTACAAATATGTCTGCAGCTAGGTCTTTGAGAATAGCTGAAACATTGCTGATGCGGCTTAAAGCAATATTCACTCACTCTGCAGTTAGTTTATATCATGGGGTTTCCAGGTTTCAAATTGATCCCAAGCAGCCTATGTTTGTTGAAAAAGGAGATGAAATCGGATAGTCATGCAACATTTCTATATGAGAGTAACTAAAATAATCTACTGTGATTAAAACAAATTGGAAACTGAAATTGTGGTTTGGTAACAATTTACCTGCAGTCTGAGAGGAATAGACAAAAACGTCATGATCCACAATGACGGAAAGTATGGTCACAATGACAACGCCTAGAATATAACAAGTTGAGCAGCTTTTAGCAATATCACAGCTCGGGACACTAGAGATGGGCTTCATACATTGTATCTGTGTGGGGAATTGAATCTGGGTATTGGACATGACGAGCGAACGCTTTAAATAACCACAAGGCTACCCCACTGCCCCTTACTGAGAAACTTATGTTACATTTGACTGCTATCTATAAATGACATTGTGATACGGTATTCATAGCCAGCAATGTCATTATCACAGTTCTAAACTATTGATTGTTGCGATTGTATGACCTTACCACTGGAGACCACACCTGTGCCTCCTGCAGCCAACCTCACACAGATAACAGCCCTCCTTATACTAGCAATCAAACGTTGAATTCTCAGCATCTATTCCACATGAAAGTCTGGTAATGTTCAACAGAGGGATCTGCAGGTCCTATGTAAGGACACATAAAACAATATCCTCTTCTCATCATTTTTTTTTCTAAATGGTCGGGTGGGCGGATTTTAGTTTTACATTTTATTTTATTTTAATTTATGTCCAAACCCCCTTGATTTCTGAGGAAATTTACATTAGGGTCGGGTCCGGCGGTAATGAGAAACAAAACTATTTTTATATAAGGCCTGATATTGTCCCTAACGTGATGGGTGGGGATCGTATAGGGGCTCCTTGCGGGCCATGGTAATGTTCCGATGGCGTTGTTCTGGGCAACGGGCGATGACGGCTCGAAATCGGTGAGGTCTAGTGTTTTAGTCCACGAATATCGGGCGACAGGCAAGGAGATGGTTGTCAAAGTGTGGCACGACGGCGGTATTGAGTGTATTCTGTTGATCCTGTTAATAGCGTTGACCATTGAGTGTACGAGTTAGTGATCAGATCCAGTCAGAATTTCCAGTCATACGAAACGCAACCCCTCATCAACCCTCCCCCAAAGGTTCAGTTGCATGGAACATCTATTGGTGATAAGTCCCGTAACGACCTCTCCACACTCCAGGGGCAAGGGTAAGATAGCGACTTTCGTCATACCAATGAACCCGACGCCAACTGCCCGTCTGTACAGACGTACTCCCGGGCGGATCAGCAATTTTGTACATAAACATATGTTTAAAATTATGCTTAGAAATTATGGCAAGGGGAGGGGGGTAATTGATTTTGTACATGACATGCAGGGGGGTGGGGTGTCACTTATTTTGTACATACATTTTAGGGTAGGTCATTCACATTGTACATGCTTCTCCATAAAAACCATCACCACCACCCCTAGCCATAAATTATGAACGGTCCCTAATTAGGATTCGGTGACTATCGGTTACCAACGTCATTGGTCTTCCTCGGCCTGCCGGGTCTTGGACGATCCTTTACTTCGCCGGTGCTACGTGCTTCCTCACAGGTCGACTTATAACACTGTGGTCAATGTTCAGGTTAGCCCCGATGTTGCGGCAGGACATCCCTGTGTCCCACGTGTTTCCTCACAGGTCGACTAATAACACTGTGGTCAATGTTCAGGTTAGCCCCGATGTTGCGGCAGGACATCCCTGTGTCCCACGTGTTTCCTCACAGGTCGACTAATAACACTGTGGTCAATGTTCAGGTTAGCCCCGATGTTGCGGCAGGATATCCCTGTGTCGTGCACACCAATATTTTGTAATTGTGCACTTTCTGCAAGTCTACTTCTTGCCATGTGATCTTATGTAAAGTTATTGAGAAAGGTACGTTTACAATAACATTATCAGTGAAGCAGGTAAGTCGACGTTGAATGATGCTAAGGTTTGCAATGTTTCATATCATGACAACTGTAAATAGCCGAGTCCGAACCGGGCAGGTGGTTGATAGCACGAACAACGGTTAACGCGCGTGTACGATCACACAATGTGCCACGTCACAGATATTGACGTAAATGTCGTTCCGGCTGATGTTGCTAGCCACAGTCTGGGTACAGTAGCAGCTAAACATTCTAAACATTCTCTACCCGTGAAGATCCGGGTTAGAATTGATCTTCGGCAACCCATGCTTGTCGTAAGAGGCGACTAACGGGATTGGGTGTTCACGTTCGCTGACTTAGTTGACACATGTCATCGTATCCCAATTGCGTAGATCGATGCTCATGTTGTTGATCACTGGATTGTCTGGTCCAGACTCGATTATTTACAGACAACCGCCATATAGCTGGAATATTGCTGAGTGCGGCGTAAAACTAAACCCACTCACTCACTCACTCCATGTACTGTTCAAAGCGGAGTTACATAAAATTCACTCACTCATTCACTTCATGTACTGTTCAAAGCGGAATTACATACAACTCACTCACTCACTCCCTGTACTGTTCAAAGCGGAGTTACATACCACTCACTCACTCGCTCACTCCATGTACTGTTCAAAGTGGAGTTACATACCACTCACTCACTCACTCACTCCATGTACTGTTCAAAGTGGAGTTACATACACCTCACTCCATGTACTGTTCAAAGCGGAGTTACATAAAACTCACTCACTCATCACTTCATGTACTGTTCAAAGCGGAATTACATACACCTCACTCCATGTACTGTTCAAAGCGGAGTTACATAAAACTCACTCACTCATCACTTCATGTACTGTTCAAAGCGGAGTTACATACTCACCTCACTCCATGTACTGTTCAAAGCGGAGTTACATACAACTCACTCACTCGCTCCATGTACTGTTCAAAGCGGAGTTACATACCACTCACTCACTCGCTCACTCCATGTACTGTTCAAAGCGGAGTTACATACCACTCACTCACTCGCTCACTCCATGTACTGTTCAAAGTGGAGTTACATACAACTCACTCACTCACTCACTCCATGTACTGTTCAAAGCGTAGTTACATACAACTCACTCACTCACTCCATGTACTGTTCAAAGCGGAGTTACATACAACTCACTCACTCACTCACTCCATGTACTGTTCAAAGCGGAGTTACATACCACTCACTCACTCACTCACTCCATGTACTGTTCAAAGCGGAGTTACATACCACTCACTCACTCGCTCACTCCATGTACTGTTCAAAGCGGAGTTACATACCACTCACTCACTCACTCACTCCATGTACTGTTCAAAGCGGAGTTACATACCACTCACTCACTCGCTCACTCCATGTACTGTTCAAAGCGGAGTTACATACCACTCACTCATGTACTGTTCACTCCATGTACTGTTCAAAGCGGAGTTACATACAGCGGGACTACACTCACTCACTCACTCACCATGTACTGTTCAAAGCGGGTTAGTGTACTGTTACAGCGGAGTTACATACTGTTCACAACTCACTCACTCACTCAAAGCTCACTCCACTCCATGTACTGTTCAAAGCGGAGTTACATACAACTCACTCACTCACTCCATGTACTGTTCAAAGCGGAGTTACATACAACTCACTCACTCACTCACTCCATGTACTGTTCAAAGCGGAGTTACATACCACTCACTCACTCACTCCATGTACTGTTCAAAGCGGAGTTACATACCACTCACTCACTCACTCCATGTACTGTTCAAAGCGGAGTTACATACACCTCACTCACTCACTCCATGTACTGTTCAAAGCGGAGTTACATACCACTCACTCACTCGCTCACTCCATGTACTGTTCAAAGCGGAGTTACATACCACTCACTCACTCACTCCATGTACTGTTCAAAGCGGAGTTACATACCACTCACTCACTCGCTCACTCCATGTACTGTTCAAAGCGGAGTTACATACAACTCACTCCATGTACTCAGCGGAGTTACTACCACTCACTCCATGTACTGTTCAAAGCGGAGTTACATACCACTCACTCACTCACTCACTCACTCCATGTACTGTTCAAAGCGGAGTTACATACACCTCACTCACTCACTCACTCCATGTACTGTTCAAAGCGGAGTTACATTACATACCACTCAGCGGAGTTACATCACTCATGTACTGTTCTCGGAGTTACTCCTCACTCCATGTACTGTTCAAAGCGGAGTTACATACCACTGTTCACTACACTCACTCACTCGCTCCATGTACTGTTCAAAGCGGAGTTACATACACACCTCACTCACTCACTCACTCACTCGCTCCATGTACTGTTCAAAGCGGAGTTACATACCACTCACTCACTCGCTCACTCCATGTACTGTTCAAAGCGGAGTTACATACCACTCACTCACTCACTCCATGTACTGTTCAAAGCGGAGTTACATACCACTCACTCACTCACTCACTCCATCTCTCCATGTACTGTTCAAAGCGGAGTTACATACCACTCACTCACTCGCTCACTCCATGTACTGTTCAAAGCGGAGTTACATACACTCACTCACTCCATGTACTGTTCAAAGCGGAGTTACATACCACTCACTCACCCACTGTACATGTACTGTTCAAAGCGGAGTTACATACCACTCACTCACTCACTCACTCACTCCATGTACTGTTCAAAGCGGAGTTACATACCACTCACTCACTCGCTCACTCCATGTACTGTTCAAAGCGGAGTTACATACACCTCACTCACTCACTCCATGTACTGTTCAAAGCGGAGTTACATACCACTCACTCACTCACTCCATGTACTGTTCAAAGCGGAGTTACATACAACTCACTCACTCGCTCACTCCATGTACTGTTCAAAGCGGAGTTACATACAACTCACTCCATGTACTGTTCAAAGCGGAGTTACATACAACTCACTCACTCACTCACGTTGCAATACGCAGAGCTCCAAACTCGCCTCTCCCACTCCATACGAAGAATGATCATTAATGTTTCAGCCTGACTCAACCGTTACACAGCTTTTGAGTCACATCACTCGACATGAATGCTCCGGAAGCTGGCTGATCAGATAGCTCCGACCAATGCCACTCATAATGGGATGCGCAGACCATTGTCTTGTAGTTGACACTATACAACCTTTGACCCGGAAACAGCCTATGGACCATGTGACCTGGCAGTGTTTACTAAAACAGCAAATCCTTATATCTATAGCGGTGTATTGCAGCGGAGGGAAGAATTGATTGTTAGTAAAGAAGGTAAGTGTAGTTGTTTTACAGTATTGGTTTATAGTTTTTCGATCGTTTTCAATGTTATTCATAACATTTAACATTTTAATACATCAAACGTTGTTCCTACACATGGCAATATACAAGTAAGTATCAATCATATGATATCAAAATTAATATTTATTTAGTAGTTGTCTTTCTCTGAGAGTGTTAGTTGCAATCCCGGATGCGACCAACTCAAAATATTATGGAATGTGTACTTTACCAAGACACATATAACATTGGTTACATATATATCGTTTAAGCCATTTGAAAAACATATACAGAAAGTACAAAAGGTACAAAATGAGAGGTGGGTGGGGTGACATGCGGTTTGAGGTAGCGCATCTACCAAAGTGACCATGCCGTGAGGATCAACGAAAATGGCTAAGTGGTGTACATCTTCAGTTTTTAGGAACCATTCATAATTTATGACTTGGGGGTAGGGGGATTACATTTTTTATTGTATCGTTTTTTCTTCTTCTTTTTTCTTTTTTTTTGACATTGGGTTTAACATGGAAACATACAGACTCCCCACTCGACAACATTATACTGTATCTGTTAGGGCCAGTCTCAATCCATCGGACAGTGAGTTAACATGTTATGGAGGAGTTATTTATCTGACTTGTCATCAATACCTAAATTTGACCGCCCCATCCTTATAGTCTCCACTGGGGCGGTGGGGTAGCCTAGTGGTTAAAGCGTTGGCTCGTCACGCCGAAGACCCGGGTTCGATTCCCCACATGGGAATATTGCTAAAAGCGGCGTAAAACTAAACTCAGTCAGTCCGTCATTCTCCACTGACGAATACAGGTTGTGGAAATGTTTTCATTTGATCCTCCGTTCAATGGAATCAGTGATTTTTTTAACCCTTAAAAACCGTGTTTTTAATAGGATCATTAATGGGCACATTACTAACAGATTTTAATTTGTTTCCGTCTGATGAAAAATCAAGGTGAAATGACGAAGGTTAAGGGTGTGAATAATACCTTAAGTGTTGTTTTTAACAACACGTCTATTGATTTGGTGTCTCTGTGGCGCCATGCATGGTTACCCGGCATACTTTCGAAACGAGATTAAAACCAGTTCTGATATTTCAAATATAGATGGAGCCCAGAGACTTTCTTAATCTCCCGAAACTGCAGAAATCTTGGCCTGCGTGGGTTATATTAGATGTATTTGTTTCAGGGTCTGTGTGACATGCTATGTATCGATCTCACGCTGCACTTCTGTGCTATACATAGTTACTACATGTATTGTCCAAACACTACTTTTCTGGGTTCAAATAGTCAGGTTTACGATGTTTGTTTGTTTGTTTTGTTTTTTGTTTTGTTTTGTTTTTGTTTATTTTTTTGTTTCTGTTTTCTTTTTGTGTACGTGCGTGTGTGTGCGCGCACGCAGTGTTAGAAAGTGCTGACACGTCAGGGGATGTGGATGATGCGCGGAGCTTTGTCAACTTTCATACTGGTTACTGAACCCAAAGCGGCCTGGCATCCGTGTAACTCTGGGATAAACACGTGTCCAGTTTACAGAACCATACATCGTCATTTTGCGGGGGTCGGGATTAACGAGGGTTATGTGTACCGACTACCGATACTTTCAGGAACCGATAAAAAGCATACTCCCATGTCTGATGTTCGCTGAAAATGAAGCAAATCACAGTTGTATTTTGGACTTAAAGTTTCCAGTTTTTATTGTTAGTGTTTTCAGCTTCAGTGTTTTCCATAATGTTTGTAATAATTACATTGTTGATTCCTTAACACGAGCGAAGTGTTCTGCCCATACACACACCGACACTGTATTGGCAGGAGATGACCCTCCATTATTAAGAAACGGGAGAGGCCATTGTCGCTCATCTGGTGTGTACGTGAGAAAGGTGACGATAGCATCGCAGTAACTGCGTGTCCGGGTTGTAACATGATATCAGATATACACATTAATCAGACATCTGACGTGTAGTAAAGACCTGGGCTCCGTTCCTCAAAGCGATTGTAGCGCTACAACAGTCGTAAGTCTATGTTAAAGTATGGGAGTTACGATCAACTTTGCGCTACGATCGCTTTGAGGAACGGGGCTCTGAGCTCCGTTCCTCGAAGCGATCGTAGCGCTTAGGTGATCGTAACTCCCATACTTTAACATAGACTTACGACTGTCGTTGCGCAACGATCGCTTTGAGGAACGGGGCCCTGGAAATCCTGTGTTTAATGTACACTAATAACTTCCCCGGAAATGGTGCGTCAATATGTTTAAGTCCTTGTATTACGAAACCATATCAGTGCTAAACATCAGTCAGCAGGAAATTAGACTGTTGTGTAATCAATATTTTGACTTGAAAAATTAGACACCCTTTCTCCGAATCTGAAAATATAAATATACCTACATCCTCTTTCAAAAGGCAAAAAAGGCATTTTTACGATTTCAATGAGGAATGATGAAACTAAACTTAGACATCCTTCTTTTCCCAGAATCCGAATATATATATACCTGCATCCTGCTATTAAAATCAGTCAATTAGACATGGTGTCTTGGTATAAATTGACCGTGAAGATCCGGGTTAGAATTGGTCTTCAGCAACCCATGCTTGTCGTAAGAGGCGACTAACGGGATCGGGTGGTCAGGCTCGCTGGTTTGGTTGACACACGTCATCATATAGCAATTGCGTAGATCGGTGCTCATACTGTTGGTCACTGGATTGTCGATTATTTACAGACAGCCGTCATATAGCTGGAATATTGATGATTGCGGCTTTAAACAACAACCAATAAATGTATTTGAGCATACACCTACAATCACAGCAATTGAGAACTGTGATAATTGCATTGTGGCGTATGAATAGACGATGCCATTTAGAAAGTGGTTAAATGTAACATAAGTTTCTCAGTGGAGTAAGGGGCGGTGGGGTAGCCTAGTGGTTAAAGCGTTTGCTTGTATGCGAAGTCCCGGGTTCGATTCTCCACATGCGTGAAGCTCATTTTTGGTGTCCCCCGCCGTGATATTGCTTGAATATTGCTAAAAGGCGGCGTAAATCCATTCACTCACTCACTCACTCACCATCCGTCATCGTCATCTAATATTTCTCATCTTTAATATCTGCCCAGTACGGCATCTACAGATTTGTCATTTTCATCTGCAAATTAATTATTGATTAATTCACACTTACATCAAGTTCATGAATAAGAGATTAAATAAACTGATGATATCATGAATATTTTTTCATCTATATCTATATTTGACATCTGTATTTTCTATTTATCAAACACACCCACATCATAACAAAACGCTGACGATGGCAACATTGTCTAAATTGTAAAACCGTTTATTAATGACACGTTATTTCTTTGAAACCAACATTTCACTGACAGAAAGAAATACTAATGACGTGGACTGACTGACTGACTGAGTTTGGTTTTACGCCGCTTTTAGCAATATTCCAGCAACATCACGGCGGGGGACACCAGAAATGGGCTTCACACGTTGTACCCATGTGGGGATTCGAACCCGGGTCTTCGGCGTGACGAGCCAACGCTTTAACCACTAGGCTACCCCACCGCCCCACTAATGACGTGGAATAGGGGAAATGTCCACTTTCGCTGGTCCCCTGGTCGGTAAAACAATAAACTCTCTTATATATAAACATTCTCAGTACTCTGATGTATTTTTACGGATATCCCATAGTCATGTCACACATGTAGATTCGGGTTAGAACTGATTTTCAGTAAGCCACGCTTGTGGTAGGAGGCGACTAACGGGACTAACTCAATCAATCAACCAACCAACCAACCAACCAACCAACCAACCAACCAATCAATCAATCAGTCAATCAATGCCATGTTCCAAAACAGATTTCTGATGAAGAGGGAATGATATGGAATGATTTGTAAGTGTTGAACCTTTGGCCAGATTTGACAAAACGAAAGCATCTCATATCCATGAAGCGTATTGGTCAATACTTCTTCTATCCGTGTAGACATTGAATATAAGAAGTAGGCTATAATCAAAGTAAAATGCCCACAGGACAAAATCACAGAACATCCAAAATCCAATTGTTAGCAAGGTCAGAATGTTGTCCTACGTGTCCTCGAGCCGACGTCCAGAAGGTCAATGACAGAGCCTTTGTCATTTCCGCACTTCCTGGCCGGAAGCTGGATATCAATCCTCTTGGCGAGACGAGTTTCGGCGAAATTAATGTATATTGTAATACTATTTACGCAGTACTCAACTGAAGCCGTTAACAACTTGTTCCAAAGGTGAAGACAGTGAAAACATTTGTAAACTGTAGACTTGTCTATTCTAACACAGTGTTGGCCTGTCTATTCTAACACAGTGTACATCCACTCAGTGCCTCAAGGGATGCCATGTGTTACGAAACAGCTATCGCCATACGCTAAGGTTTGTTTTATTTTAAAACTCGAGATGATCCCGACCATCCACGGCTTGGCCCGATGATTTTATTACCTCCCTTTGCTGGCATTTTATCCAATCAGGTGTCTACGCTGGGAAGTTGAGCGAACCAATCACAACTCACCTTCACTTCTTAAATTATCTAACCGTTTAAACTGGGCAACACAATTGATGCAGAGGTACTCTGAAAGTGGTAGAAGGAGTTTTTTAAATATATTTTTTAAAGTTTCAGATCTGTCAATTTGTCTGTATGATTTCCCCAAAAATCTGAGTGGCACTGCGAATAAACCTTCGCGACTGCGACCGCTATCTTTGTTGACATTGGTAAGCTCGGATGTAACGGCGGCTTAGCTGATTTGCTACAGTGAGAATGCAGAGCCAGCAAAGGGAGGTAATAAAATCATCGGGCCAAGCCGTGGATGCATCCAGGGTATAGTGGAGAGTGATCGTAAGGTATACCCTGGAGATTATCGAGGATGGATCCCGACTAGATCGGTCTTATCAACCCATGCTTGTGGTAAGAGGCGACTAACGGGGTCGGGTGATCAGGGTTCGGGTGTCTTGTCATTGTATACCAGTCATGATGAACCAAATACGATGCTCATGATGTCAATCACTTGATTGTCTAATCGTCGATTATTTACAGACCGCAGGTGGATTGTTGCTGAGCCAACAATAATAACAAACAAACAAAAAGAGCAAATGTTAATAACTATTCAGGCATTACAACACCTGTCTTTTGTTCTTACAGGTGGGATCGCCATGGAGCCTCCAAGAGACAATTCAACAACATGGTATCCTAGTTCCATACGGCTGCACACCGACAATATGTCAGTGTCAACTACCAGTACTCATCCAAACATCGACAAATCAGAGTACCTCGACGGACTAAGCAATGAGGAGGCAACAAAGCTACTTCCGGTTATAGTGTACCTTGGGATACTGATGATCGTTGGCCTAGTGGGTAATTGTCTGGTCTTGTACGTCCACTTCCGGAAGTTCAACCCAAGTACTACCAGAACGTACGTCGTGTCGCTGGCGTTCTTTGACCTCCTTAGCTGCCTCTTCTCAGTGCCTGGGGAAATAGTAGACTTAAGGTTTTCCTTCACGTTTGAAGCTGTGGCACTATGTAAAGCAGAACGGTTCTGTACCACCTTCTCCTCCTTGGCATCCGGTTTCACGCTGATGGCGGTTGCTGTCGACCGTTACAGACGCATCTGTCACCCTTTGAAACAGCAGCTACAGACAAATGGGGCCCGGAAGGTCGTACTTGGGGCATGTCTCCTCTCAGTTCTCTTCTCATGGCCCGTTAGCGTCATCTACGGCAAGAGGTCTGTTGACACGGAGTATCAAGCTATCAAAGGGATTGAATGTTCCACGGACGATGAATACAGAGTTACAAAGTATCCAACGATATACAATGCGTCCCTGTTCCTTATATTCATCATATCCTTCGGTACCATGATAGCTGTCTACACCCTCATCGGGAGGAAAGTCTTGCAGCAGAAGAAATTCAGAAAGCATTCTACGAGCAAAAGTCTTCAACGGTCGCGAAGTCTTTCCGGAAGCGACAAAATGCCAGTTTCACCTTCATCACAGAGATCTCCGCCTGAAATGGACAGACCCTCCTATGACGAAGGTCCGTCGGAGTATTCCATCGCGTCCATAGATCCCCATGCCAAGGATGTCAGTCTGAGCCGGAAACCCTCCTTCATGAAGCGTATCCAAAAGGGGGCCCAGGATTCCAGGAGCAAGAAGACCACTTTCATGCTGTTCCTCATCACGATGGTGTTTGTTCTGAGTTTCCTCCCTCACCTCATCCTAAAGGGAGTCCAGGCGGCCAAGAAAACCTTCCTAGGTGACGCCAGCACCGCGGCCCTCATCTTCTACAACATCTTTGTGCGATCCTACTTCCTCAACAGCATCTCAAATGCCTTCATCTACGGGTTCTGTAGTCCACGCTTCAGGAAAGAATCCAAAGCTCTCTTTCGAGCATTGATTTGCCAGAAGAGATGCGCCTCGCTGTCTATCTCAAAACCCAAGGTGTGAGTGATTTGATGTAAGAAAGTGCGGGAAATGACGGTATGAAAACGGCGAGAGTACACTTGGGTGAATCACCGGGTGTATATGAACACAGCTACATGGTCATGTCACTGGTGATAGAACAGATATACAGGTGTCCATGGCAGGTGTTAGAACAGATATACAGGTGTGCATGACAGGTGTTAGAAGAACAGATATACAGGTGTGCATGACAGGTGTTAGAACAGATATACAGGTGTGCGTGGCAGGTGTTAGAACAGATATACAGGTGTGCGTGGCAGGTGTTAGAACAGATATACAAGTGCGCATGGCATGTGTTAGAACGGATATACAGGTGTGCGTCGCAGGTGTTAGGACAGATATACAAGTTCGCATGGCATGTGTTAGAACGGATATACAGGTGTGCGTGGCAGGTGTTAGGACAGATATACAAGTTCGCATGGCATGTGTTAGAACGGATATACAGGTGTCCATGGCAGGTGTTAGAACAGATATACCATGGCAGGTGTTAGAACCGATATACTTATATTCCACGGCAGGTGTTAGAACAGATGTGCAGATATGAATGGCTGCTGTTCAAATATTATGGTTTGCTTGATATGAGCTAGAACTGATTCTGGTGTGCATTTGTGCATGGCGATTGTTAGAGCAGATACACACGCAGGTTCGTGCAACAAGACGTACATGGCCACGTCACAATTGATGTGCAGGTCACATTGACAGTCAGAATATTGTGAATGAATACGATTACCATTTTTATGGAGTGTGTCAAGTGTGTGGATAGTGTTCACTGTTCTGTATGACAACATGGGGGAGTGCAGTATGTTTGGACAACGTTCTGTATGACAACATAGGGGAGTGCACTGTATGGCAACATAGGGGAGTGCACTGTATGTTGATAGTGGTCTGTATGACAACATGGGGGAGTGCACTGTATGTTAATAGTGGTCTGTATGACAACATGGGGGAGTGAACTGTATGTTAATAGTGGTCTGTATTACAAAATGGGGAGTGCACTGTATGGCAACACGGGGGAGTGCACTGTATGTTAATAGTGGTCTGTATGACAACATGGGGGAGTGAACTGTATGTTAATAGTGGTCTGTATGACAACATGGTGAGTGCACTGTATGTTAATAGTGGTGTGTATGACAACATGGGGAGTGCACTGTATGTAGATAGGGGTCTGGATGACAATATTGGGGAGTGCAGTGTGTGTTGACAACGTTCTTTATGACAACATGGATCAGTGCACTGTATGTAGATAGTGGTCTGGATGACAACATGGGGCACTGTACTGTGTGTGGACAATGTTCTGTATGGCAACATGGAGAGTGCACTGTATGTAGATAGTGTTCTGTATGACAACATGGGGCACATGGGGAGTGCACTGTATGACAACATGGGAGAGTGCACTGTATGTAGATAGTGGTCTGGATGACAACATGGGGCACTGTACTGTGTGTGGACAATGTTCTGTATGATAACATGGAGAGTGCACTGTATGTAGATAGTGTTCTGTATGACAACATTTCGGAGTGCACTGTATGTAGATAGTGTTCTGTATGACAACATTTCGGAGTGCACTGTATGTAGATAGTGTTCTGGATGACAACATGGGGCACTGTACTGTGTGTGGACAATGTTCTGTATGACAACATGGGGGAGTGCACTGTATGACAACATGGGAGAGAGCATTGTATGTACATAGTGGTCTGGATGACAACATGAAACAGTGTAGTGTCTGTGGACAATGTTCTGTATGACAACATTTCGCAGTGCACTGTATGACAACATGGATCAGTGCACTGTATGTAGATAGTGTTCTCTATGACAACATGGATCAGTGCACTGTATGTAGATAGTGTTCTCTATGACAACATGGATCAGTGCACTGTATGTAGATAGTGGTCTGTATGACAACATGGATCAGTGCACTGTATGTAGATAGTGGTGTGTATGACAACATGGATCAGTGCACTGTATGTAGATAGTGGTGTGTATGACAACATGGATCAGTGCACTGTATGTAGATAGTGGTCTGTATGACAACATGGATCAGTGCACTGTATGTAGATAGTGGTGTGTATGACAACATGGATCAGTGCACTGTATGTAGATAGTGTTCTATATGACAACATGGAGAGTGCACTGTATGTAGATAGTGGTGTGTATGACAACATAGATCAGTGCACTGTGTGTTGATAGTGTTCTCTGTGACAACATGGGACTTTACTGTGAGTGGACAGTGTTAAGTGTAACGCGATTGGAAAATATACAGGTTTCATTGCAACCTCTGTACAGTATTCATTATTGGACGACCTTGATCAACAATGGCTTTTGTCCAGGGAAAGTTGTGCTTCATCTGTGACTCACCGCATATATAACATCTGCTCTGACTGGAGGAAGTTGGGAATTGCACACACACTCAATAACACAAGGAAATTCCGTCTGTGTTTCAAATCACCGGATTGTCTTCTCTCAGACAGGAGGACTTACAATTTCCTTTAATTTCAGGGAAGCAGCTACCATTTCCGATTCCGTGTCATGTCGGCACAGGTACTACAGAATTGTTCACCAATTTCCTACAGTCCTGACCATTGCCAGGCGTACATTCCTGTACACCGTCTTTATGTTTGGTACAGCAATGAATGAAGACAGGTACTTTAGCTACTGTTGGACTTGCGGCGATAACCACACAAGGGATATCATATTAAGTTCATGTTGTATTCCAAACCAGGATCGAATCAACATACATCTGTTTCTGCTATGATGATTAATACGAAGCATAATTCGACCTCACAGTGTTCAACAGTTACTTCATGTGGGTTTCCCGCCTCTGGGGTGTGAAAGAAGTTTGTATCTCAGGTGAATCACGCTTAAAAGTTAAGTAACGATAGCACGTGGAACGGAAACCAGTGAAATAGAAAATATTTTATTTGTTCATCTCTGATTTAGTTCGCATGTATTCAAGAGATAAATCTTTGAGTCTCAATTTTCTGAATGTTATTTTCAATGTAATACTTTTTCAATACACATTTGTAACATCAATTCCTCATTTAATTTTGTGTCAAATAAAACCTCATCTTTGTTAACCTGGGTGTGTTGTATTTCTGTCATCAAATGGAGACGTAGGGATACTAACAGTATGAACATCACAACACGTAGAATAGCTACATTGTGAATGTTGTTATAAGCCGCAAATGGACAGGAGTGTATGTGTGTGAGTGACACATCCACCTACTCCCACACCTACACCCACACCCACACCCACACACCCTACACTACCTCGGGGGTGTACTTTTCATTGCCGTCGGGGTAGGGTGACAGACGTCCTGAGACTTCACTGACATTATGGTCGCATGTGTGTTTTGCGTCAATCATAGGGGAACTTGACTTTGGGCGTAGTCCTTGTTTCTAAGTGCCATCTAAAGGCGTATAAATGCAGAAAGGTTGACATTATGAGGTTTAAAGTCATTTTTGTAACATTACATTGTATTGAAACAGTATAAATTGAACCTGAAGTACTTTGTGGTTTAGTTTAGGAAAGTCCATTCTGATGATAGTTCTCCACCAACGTAGGAACCAACGGCTGCGTTTAACATAGGATGTTACATCCAAACGAATATGAGCATGGGCTACTTGGGCTACTTCATGGGCATTGGGCTACCTCTGCTTAACTGGTTCAAAATAAACGACAAGTCGTTTGTAAATTGTACTTTAGTCCGATAAGATCTCACAAGTCCGTCAGTTGATGTGAAGGATCTTTCTAATTAGCCAATCAGCGTCAAGCTTTTAAGTTTCTAAATTATACTAGCAGTTACGAAATGTGTTGTGGATATTCCAATCTGAGAGCCTACCTTTAAATATGTACTGTGACTATATCGGCATGTATGTTGCCCACACGGGCAGTGTATTGGTAACGATGTGTTAGACGCATTCTACTCAATTATGTGTAAACCATTATCTTACGTCGATTACCTATCATAGTGTAATTCTCTAACATCACTGACGTTCTTCGTATACTTTTACTTCTGTAAATGAGTGTAATATTCTCTAAAACATGTTTGTAAACATTCTACTGTTTGACTAATAATGTGAATTACTCGTCGTATATTTACTGAGATTTGAAATATACTGGTTAGTCCTACACTGTGCTACCTGTGTTAAGCGAGCTGATTGCCAAAAACTCGTATTAAACCAAATCAGCCTTTGGCTACATACAATCTTAAGGGCTTTCTCGATTTTTTTTACTCTTTGGCAAGGATATGTATATCCCTTAAACACCATTTTGTAATAGACTTCTGTGGGTACAAATGTAGTCGGACACTTTGCTCGGATGTTGGATGACATATACAAATAAGTAGCTTCAGACAATTTGCAAGTTGTCCAGCAAATAGATACCGATGGTCAGTACTCCTTATAAGATGACATTGCATCGTCACAATCAGAAGAATGCCCTGGAGCCACTATCAATAACCCTACCCTCTTCTCCCCACCCCGCCATCCACCCAACACAAGCAGTCACAGACACACACACGCACGCGCACGCACGCACACCATGGGTGTGTTTGGTGAGACGCCGCAACCCAAGATAGGTGACCAGCCGTTAGACAGTTACTGCACCAGCGCGTGTAGCAGAGTAAAGGTCATGATCTGGTGAAGTGGCTCGGTTACCGGGAACTCTCATGGAAGTCCACTCATATTGTCACGATCAAAGGTAAGAGGCGGAAACTCCCTCAGAGATATCTCCCAATGAAGTCAATAACATGGATTAGAGATATAATGTATGCCTCGTGTCAACACCATCTAGATCATGCATGGTTCATGAGTGCTTAAGACGTTGTGTGCAGCAATTTCACCCAAGTCCTATATGCTGTTCTATTTGATGTACACATTTAATTAATGTAAAGTAGAAAAAAACAATATTCGCATGAGACGTATTTTCGTGATGTTACCCAAGAATTCTAGCGCAGATCACATCTGCTAGTCCAAGGTCACAATATGAGACTCGTAATTTCAAAAGATATATCTGAGTGTTGTAATGGAAATATTTTATTTACATGCAAACGATTACGCGATAAGGCACATTATGTTTGTGTATATCATAGAATATCAGTTTACTTAGTAGTCAGGCATTCGACCATAAGCAGGTTTAGCCACTCGGTCGAAACGCCCACTGTTTTTTGTATACGAACTTGAATCTCCGCCCACAAATGGCTTGTGTATACCAACAGCTCACCACTGTTTTGTTTGTAAAAGCCAGAACCCCCGCTTAACTTCTTGTTGGTATGTCTTGCTCGGACAGTGTTGACAATTGGATAATTCACTATTTACTTGTACGTTCCTGTATTCTAATGACATTTAAATCATATGTCACGTGTATGCTATAAAGGCGACGTAAACCGAACTCCCTCACTCACTGTCACAATCATTCCATGTAGCAAATCTTTGTCAAACTGTCGATGGCACCTGCATAAACGATCTGGGGACAAAGGTTCCACAAACTTCTGGAGTGGGTTGATAAAGTGTAAGCAATTTCAATGAGGTTCTTTAAAACCTTAGTTTGTTCAATTGTTTCAATATGTATCCAAAGTGCAATGAAACTCTTTCCTTTTTGTTCTTATCATGCATTCATGCAGAGGTGAGTCCCACTCCTATCATACAATCCGCTCCCTTAATCCTAAACGTTATATATAAGAGTCAGTTTACACCTCCGTACATCGCTGGATCTTACCTATGTACATGTACATGTGCGTTGGTCAATGACCTTGCGACACCTGACGTAATATCTCTTCCTATAAAACCCGACAGACATGGTCAGCGAGGGAGACAGAAGCATCCGGATTGTGCGGCTAGTCTTAGCGTTGACCAAGGTCGTCTCCTCTCTAGCACCTACTCCGACGATGAAGAATCGCCCCCTCAGTTCTGCATTTGTGTAAATGACAGCGGATCTCCTTATCGGGTACGTTGGTCAAAGGTTCCCCGGGTGCGTTCTGTCAATTGTTTACCATCAACATGTACCATTTCGACCAATTTTCTTCATCAACAATAAACATGCATGGCTGTTGGCGGACACTTCACCCGTGAGGTTTGTCTTCCTTTGCCAACCTGAGCAACCATCCAAGGGAGCAAACCGCACGCTCTGAAGATGCTATATCCTGACAGTCAGCGTTTTAGAAGTTTTGCTTCCCTACCCCTTGAGCGGCGGTCCGGTAGCCCAGTGGTTACAGCGTTCGCTTGTCACGCCGAAGGTTCGATTTCCAACATGGGTACATAATGTGTGAAGCCCATCCCTAGTGTCCCCCGCCGTGATATTGCTGGAATATTGCGGCGTAAGCCTAAACTCACTCACTGCCCCTTGGCTACTTACTGGCACTTAGTTCCTTAACATTGACATGCGCATCTATAGTTGTCTCCGTATGTTCCTTACAGGGACGTAGAGCATTCTGTGTATATATTCCCCTCGATCATCATGTGTTGATGTTGCAAAATCTCTGTTAAATCTGCCATCAATTTCACTTTACTCATCTGACCCGTGAAGGTCCGGGTTAGAATTGGTCTTCAGTAACCCATGCGTGTCGTAAGAGGCGACTAACGGGACTGCGTAGTTCGATGTTCACCCGCCAACCAACTTCACCCATCTCTTCTACTGTTATTTTGTTTACAGACATTTGGGGACGGATTTTTTAAAGGAAACGGGGATACTATTAACATGGAGAAAATGGACAAGTTTTAGAAACATTTAATCATTTTATTTCTGTGTGGTTTGAAATCGTGAACATTACAAGCTAACCGACGAACCTACCAAGGGTCAAACTGATAACCAGCATCGGGCATAATCCAGGCCCAGTATATCGTATTGTGCTGGTCAGATAGAGTTAGAGTGACAGATTTACGGCGTGATACATTTAACTGTATCACCGCTACGTTTATCATCCGGTGTTATCAAATTACAGGTACCTCGTATACAAACGCTGGAATACAATCTCAGCAACTGATCTCATTCATATTGAACTTCAGCCATGAACACCGTTATCATCGAAACTTTCATCTGGATAAATTACGCAATTATGTCAAGATAGGGCAGATAGTCCGCAATAACAACCTTATCACCAGCCTAATCAGAGTATACATGTATTACTGCCTTATCACAAGTCTAATCATAGTATAGGATTATCTGCAGTAGCTGTGACGGACGACAGTCAGACACAAATCACTCAACGAGGGATGTATAAATTCATCAATTGTTTGTTAAGGTAAGAAATTTTACTATCTTTTGCTTAAATCTTAACTATATGCTATTATATATTAACGATTAACGACTGTACCTTATCTGTCTGTTATTACCTTCAGGTGTTTAGGAGTGAGTGAGTTTATTTTCACGCCGCTTTTAGCAATATTCCAGCAATATTACGGCGAGGGAACACCAGAAATGGTCTTCACTCATTGTACCCATGTTGGGAATCGAACACGGGTCGAACACGACGTGACGAGCGAACGTTTCAACCACAGGGCTACCCGACCGCCCCAGGGCCTAGATTTTCGAAGCTCTCTTAGTGCTAAGATAGTCGTAAGTGCCATACATTAACATTAACTTACGACTATCTTAGCGCTAAGAGAGCTTCGAAAATCTAGGCCCTGGTTTTTAGGAGGAACATGCCACACTGTGATGTATGTTGAAGTCATTGTCGTACTTTTGTTGATCATGCATTTTTCAATTCTGTTCAACTTTATTGCGTAGTATACCTTTCCATATAATGTTTCTTGTGCGAATACCCACTTGGGATATAATAGCTAGATTGTGTCAGATGTATTATATTCATGTGTAAACTGTTGGCTGTCGTTGGTGACTTTGGAACATGTAACTATCATTGTATATACTCTGTGAAATTCTTCTTTCATTGATGTTTTTTGTAAATATGTGCTGCCATGAACAAATTGTAACATTCTCCAAAACTTGTTTGCAGACACGCTTTTGTTGACTAATAATGTAAACATGCTTGTCGTAAGAGGCGACTAACGGGATGGGGTGGTCTAGTTGACACATGGCATCGTATCCCAATTGCGTTGATCGATGCTCATGCTGTTGATC